ACTGCTTATCAATAAATCTGATGTAAAAAACTGAAAAATGCTGTAACAATTTAAAAAACCCAGGCTGTGTGTTATTTCTTTAAAGTCACAGTGACTGTAATTCTGACATATTAGCAAAAGAAAGAAGTTACCAAGTACTACTAGTATATACAGACATAACAAGTTACACACTTAATTCCTCAAATACACCAAGCAAGTGGAATTTGCAAAATGCAAAATTAAGATTTTTCTCACCTGATATTCTTCTTGGGTCTTCTGGGGTCGCCTTGCCTGGTCTGGTCCAATCCAGTCTTGTCAGGTTCAGACAGGAATCCTCACTACTGCATCAGTCAGCAGTCACCTAACTATACAGACATTGCAAGTTACACACTTGTCTCAAATAACACCAAATAGTTGTAGGTAAAATGCAGAATTCAGATTTTTCTCACCTGATATTCCTCTTCTGGGGTCGCCTGGTCTGGTCTGGTCCAATCCAGTCTTGTCACTGGTTCAGACAGGAATCATCACTACTGCATCAGTCAGCAGCCACCTAACTATACAAACATTGCAAGTTACACACTTGTCTCAAATAACACCAAATAGTTGTAGGTAAAATACAGAATTCAGTTTTTTCTCACCTGATATTCCTCTTGGGTCTTCAAATCATCTGGTCTGGTCCAATCCAGTCTTGTCAGGTTCAGACAGGAATCCTCACTACTGCATCAGTCAGCAGCCACCTAACTATACAGACATTACAAGTTAAACACTGGTCTCAAAGAACACCAAATAGTTGTAGGTCAAATGCAGAATTCAGATTTTTCTCACTTGATATTCCTCTTGGGTCTTCAAATCATCTGGTCTGGTCCAATCTGTCTTGTCAGGTTCAGACAGGAATCATCACTACTGCATCAGTCAGCAGCCACCTAACTATACAGACATTACAAGTTATTTTATAACACTTGTCTTGTAGGAAAATGCAGAATTTAGATTTATCTCACCTGATATTTCTCTTGGGTCTTCAAATCATCTGGTCTGGCCCAGTCTGTCTTGTCAGGTTCAGATAGGAATCATCACTACTGCATCAGTCAGCAGCCACCTAACTATGTAGAGATACCAAGTTACACACTTGTCTCAAATAATCAAGTAAATGGTACCAAAATGCAGAGTTCTGATTTTCCTCACCTGACCTGATATCACAAGTATCATCTCATCTGGACAGGAACACTTGCAGAGCTGGCAGACTCTCAGGACACAGCTAACTACAGAGTGTATGAAAAGGAACAAGTTAAAAAGACATTGGGATAAAACACTGCAAACTAGATACCTTTAAGTTATCGTTAAAGCTTCATACATTTAAATGCTTGTGACTACATTTTAACATGTCGGATGTTTCTGCCTTTTAATGCACTATGGTATGGAAGGGCACACGTCTGCAACTGACAATGGATACATGAAACTACTTCCAGAGACACAATCATGATGTTAACTCGGTAAGTACAGAAAATACAGAAATTCCTAGCTAAAATTCTTGAAGTGGACATACATAAGTCATCTATCATTAGGTTTGCTCTCATAGCTTGGAAAAAAAACAGCACACAGTGATAGCCCTAGATTCTAATATAAAATCACATTTTTCTACCATAAAATTCACCAAGTCAAAAACATACTTAGCCTCTTTTATAATTCAAAGGATGGACATTTACTCAAATCACTGCATTGATAAGTGGAAAACTGTAACAAGTAGAAAAACAGACTTGAACTTTTAGTGTCAAAAAATGAGCATTTTGGGGTTGATACATAACCTGAATATTAGGCCACAGCAAGTAAATTTTATGGATGACATCCTCCACAGATTCCAAATCTAATGCGAGCGGGCGAAAAAAACAAGGCGGGCCAAAAAAAACAAGGTTCTTACATTTTGAAATTTTGACTCAATCATTGTACAATTGGTTTTGATTCAGTGGGAACATTACATATACACAGCCAACATCACATATCACTGCATCAAAGTAAGAAACAAAACATAAAATCAGAGCCTTGTCTTGTCTCCTCTTTTTATAGTTATCTGCCATCCACCTTCCGGCATGGCAACAGACATCTTGGCCTATTTTTGGCATGGTGACCACTGTCAGAAGGCAACAAAATTTATAATTTTTTTTCCAAAATCAGGCGTGAATTAATGTGCGCGCTGATGTCATCCATAAAAATTACTTGCTGTGGCCTTACATGTTACTTGTGGTACACAGTACATGCTTTAGTTCATGTTGATGAAGAAAAAATGAAGATGAAACAAGAAAGTAGATTGGTGCGATTTTATACCTCTCTCCAACATCTAACCAACTGAGAGTAATGTTTCAAAATACTTTTGAACATTTCACCAACACATTCTAATGTACAAAAAGTCCCACAAATATCCTACCCATCTTTCCTTTGACAGGGAAGGGACACAAATAAATGTTAGACCAGGAATCCCGTTGGTGTATAAAAACGTCCATTTTTTTTCTCTTCAACGTGTCAGGGAATGTTAGAACTAGACTTTTAAAATTGTCCATGACATAATTTGTGGAGGGGGGTATTCTAGAGAGCTTGCTCCAGAAAACAGTGAAAGAAGTTAAAAACCGAGCAAAAACTAGCGTGTTGCATTCCCCAAATCACACGAATTTACCACGTATATACCGAAACGTGTTGTTATAAGTTTGTATAGGAAATAAATTCTACGGCACGGCTTGTTGCCTTACCTTGTGTAAACTCTGCCCTCCCACGACCACGCCGTCATCCTTCGGGCGCCATTTTCTCGTCTTCTCCAAAATCCACCACGTCAGGAAATCCGCATTTTCTTCGCCAAAAACCCCGGAAAACGCCACAACTCCGCCGTAGAAACATCCCCGAAAGTTTCTTCTACACGTTAGACTGAATTTTTTTCGAACTGGAAGCCGAAAATTTACCAAAAAGTTGACAAATAATTCCTGGTCTTCCCCGCGTTGCTCCGACAGACGCAGACTGAGTGGACCGTACCACTGTGACTTTTACACAGCTGTGTACAACAGCTGGTCTAATTTACCCTGATAACCACAACTACTTTACCGCCAAAATCAATCCCCTTACAAAAATAATGGCTCTCTGCTCAAAATTTCGGACTAGTTTGTGTCAAAATAACACACAAGCAACAATTATAGGTATATCCAAAGTATAGCAGCCGAAATGTGTTAATTCAATCAGCCTCGGCACCACATATGATTCTATGCAAACGGTGCCTGTCCTTGGTGCTGAACGCCATCCACACAATGTTAAACACATAGTGATTATAGTTATGGTGAAAACCACAATAGCATGATTTACAGGGACTTGTTAAAGCTGGCCAAACCTTACAGAAAAAATGACATGCACTTGGAGAAGGTAAGAGTGGAACTGTCAACGGTCTACGATAAATTCACAATGGCAGCGGCTACATGTTACGTTGCATTCGGCCAAGCTGATTCTGCCTACATGAAAATCCAGGCACTAATATTGCTAATTTTACGCCTTTCATAAACTGCACCGCTTACATACGCTATATGCTGTTGTTATGAACCATTTTAGTCGTCTGGCTACGAATTGTGTGGGATAGAACGGCCGATTACGCCACAGGCTTGCAGGTATACTCCTCCCCAACAAGTTTACGTGCAAACGGTGCCTGCCCTTGGTGCTGAACGCCATCCGCACAATGTTTAACACATAGTATGGTGGACATGGCGAAAAATATCAAAAGTTTCATTTTTCTAAAATTGAAAGAGCGGGAATTCATCCCCTATCACACCCCCGTTTTGGAGCACCCGTTCCGAAAAGGGCCTTCCCAGATTTGGCCATTTCGCGTCTTGGGAAACGCGATGGGCTCTTATGGGGGTTTTACTCCAGGTCTTTTCCGCTCTTGTTCTTGACCTTGCGGCTCACCCCACCTATCTAATTATCACGAATTTATCAGAAAAGAACCGTTTTCGACTTGCATCTGTTCAACTTGAGACAAAAATTCCTAGAACAGCCTGTACGAGCGGCTGTCAATATTTCTGTCATTCCAGTGTTCGCACAACCCAATTATCTCTGAAAAACATACGATTTATGCAAAATAAAACTCATACCTCCTTTACATCAATTAAAATACTCAGTTTTTGAGTGCAAGTGTTAGCTATGTATACCTGCTTCAAATTCTACACACACAGATACAAGAAACACATGTCACAAAAACAGTCAGTGGTTGAAAACTTTACTTTCTGTTATGAGCTGTTTACTGAGTGTTTACTCTAGTAAGTGTTTCCTCTAGTGGTCAAACTTTTCATTCATCTATGACAGAATTGCATTTAGATGTCAGTTTTACTTTATAAAATGTTACCAAAGTTCCTGAATGACTGATAACCCTTTTGCTTCATGTAGTGTTTTGATTCAAATCTTCTTGTGCGATAATACAGACCTTTAAATAAATGTATGCACTTGTGTGGAAAAAGTCGCCATTCAGAATTTTTTCCATCATTTGGCTCTTACTGAATTCCACCAGTGTACCAAACAAGGTGTAGCATCAACTACTAGAGTCAAGGGTTAATACGTCATTACATTAATACTACATTACATGATTGATAATCTTTACCATTAATACACAATAGTATTAATTGTTACCAGTGGACTAGCCCCCTGCTGTAGTGATTGCACAATTTGTGTGGTCCAAGGGCTACTGAACCGGAGATGGGTGCCACCCTATGCACCACCTGGTGCGGAAAATACTTAAACTTTTTTAACTATTAATTGTAATAGTAGTATTAATACATAATGTTAGACAGTCACTGCTTTAATAAAAAGGATCTTTAATACCCATACTAATAAATTTTACTTCTAAACTACTTATATGCCATCCTACACCCTTCTACACTACATTTTAACAAGTATCTGTATAATCCTAGACCTTTGTGAATACAAACTACATGTATTTATATTCATTAAGACTCTTATATTCATTAAGAGTCAGATTTATATCTCAATGTTAAATATCTATATGAAACCCTGTACTGGTAGATCTACAGACATCCTTAAAGAATAAGGATTTAAGAGAGCAATTCCTGCATTACTGTTCCTAACAGTATACTTGACTAGATAAAACTCAAGTAAAAAGAATGACAGAAGTAGAATAACATACTTACATGAAATGTTAACCTAGCAGAAGTCTTATACATACATTGTATAACATAAGCCTAAGAGTAATAAAAAAATTGAAAATCAACAAAAATTGAAATAGATAAACACAAGAATACTACTGTCTTAATACTAATACTAGAAGTCATTAAATCTGATGTTAGTAATAGAGTAGTTATCTAATAATGGAATCATATCATTTTTGGCACAGACATTGATAGAACAACTAGCCTTCAACTTTTTTTCAAGTCTACAGATTTCAGCCACCACTTTTGGCCTTCTACTTAGTCCTAAAAATCTTAAATGTTAACATTACGCTTTAGAATGAGTCTTAAAAACAGTTGTCATGAATCTACAATTAAGACTAACTTGGGCTTCTTTCACTCCAGTGTTGCGAAACGGATGGCACTCAGGCTAAATTCAAACAAGAGGCTGCAAGTCATTCTATGCCAAATAAAACATTCATCATCATCATGAAAATAACTTATCACAGTGCATAATCATCTTATGGCCAATTGCTTCCCATTGACTGTGATTGCCAGAGGTTCTGATCTAACATTCATAGTAGGAACCTTTCTCCAGACTCTAGTGACTCTGGCATGAGTTTGGCCACTACACAGCTCACACTGAAAGGTAGAACCTCATCAGACAAGTACTTCCCTATTGGTGGAGGGTTGATGTCTGCCTGTTCCCAGCATCGCACCCCATACTTAAAAAACAACACCTGGATAGAACTGTGAGAACTGTGAAAGATTCTAATCTATTGTTCACAGTAGGAACCTTTCTCCAGATTCTAGTGACTCTGGCATGAGTTTGGACACTACACAGCTCACACTGAAAGGTAGGACCTCATCAGACAAGTACTTCCCTATCGGCGGAGGGTCGATGTCTGCCTGCTCCTAGCATCGCACCCCATACTTAAAAAACAACACCTGGATAGAACTGTGAAAGATTCTAATGTATTGTTCACAGTAGGAACCTTTCTCCAGACTCTAGTGACTCTGGCATGAGTTTGGCCACTACACAGCTCACACTGAAAGGTAGAACCTCATCAGACAAGTACTTCCCAATCGGTGGAGGGTCGATGTCTGCCTGCTCCCAGCACCGCGCGCCATACTTGAAAAACGAGATCTGGAAGGAATAATCATCCGGACTGCTCCAGGAGCCTTCCTTGGTCCCTACGATGAGGACCAACTGTCCGTCATACACGACCAACTGTAGGATGAAGAGACGGACTTTGTTGGACAACAGGGGAAGGCGTGGTCCTACCCGCCACTTGCCTTCGGTTGGATCGTAGATCTGTAGTGTCGGCAGGCGGTCCGTGGTGGTCCTGTGCTTGAGGAAGTACAGCAAGCCCTTGTACGCGGTTAGGACGGGTCGTTCGTCCAGTTTGCTGATTGGCTCCGGTGGGAGGGTTAGCGGGGTGACGGTTCTTGTGTCAGGATCGCAGCTGTAATAATAATGATAATAATAATAAATGGTTTATCAGTCAAACATTACCCGTGCAATCGCAACCTTTTATAGCGCTGAATTGATGCAGGGTTTACAATCACATAAGAATCAATCGATAATCACAAACAATCAAATAGTACACGAATAGTGCCCTCTGACAGTGGTCAACATGCCGAAAATGGGCAAATATGTCTGTTGCCATGCCGGAACGCAAATGACAGATAACTCTGAAGACAGGAGACAAGAAAAGACTCTGATTCAACATTTTGCTTTTTTTACTTTGATGCAGTGATACGTGATGCTGGCTGTGTATATGTGATGTTCTCACTGAACCAACACCATTTGTACAAAAACTATTATTGAGTCAAAATTTGAGAATGTAGGAACCCTGTTTTTTCGACCCGCCTTGTTTTTTTTTCAGACACTTCAAACATTAGATTTGGAGTCTGCGGAAGATGTCATCCATAAAATTTACTTGCTGTGGCCTAAAGTGCCTTTCCCAGGGCACAACGTTGAGGCGCATGTCCAGACATGTCCCTGGTACAACTTGGGATAGTCAAACGCTCTACCACTACGCCACCCGACGCCACAAACCCAACGCCACACAATCACCACACACACCTGCAGAAGACGGTGTCACCGATGAAGTACAGCAGGTCGCCACATGCTGCAAGCGTCCCGACGCGCTGCGCTGGCAACTGTTCAAACTTCTCCCAGAACTGGTCCCCCCAGTGTCTTCGTTTCCATGGCGCGGCGATTTCCACACCAATCATGTCCTGCATGCTCTTCCTGTACAGCCAGTGCCAGGTTTGCGAGCGGTCGTCCGGCAGTCCAAGTTTCACGGTGTACACGTGTTCATTCAAGTACGCCAGGGCGGAGTATCTCAGGTCAAAGTTCTCATCCTCAAATGCGTAACCATGATACCGCCACAGCTGCCTCCTTCCCTTGGTACGAACTAAACAGTGAACGTGTAGCGGTAAGCCGTGATCCCATGTCTCCGGGTCGATGTAAGTCAGCGAAAACAGGTCGCAGTTTGGCGTAGCTACCAGGCTATGGACGATGTAGTCGGTACTCTCCCAGTTGTTCAGCATGTATGTACCGACCCTCTGAGAGTTAAGAGCGTACACGGTCCCTGAACGCGGTTCGTAAGCAGGGAAGCCATGGTTGCCGTCAGAGTCGACCAACTTTGTCTGGAATATAATCATCTCCTTGTACTTTGTTCCAAGTCGAGGTCTACAGGCTGGAGGTACCCACTGGCTGACAAGGTGGCTTGTGTCTTCTCGCTGAGCATTTGATTCTGCGTCTGAGTCTGTATCTGGCCCTTCGTTTATTCCTTCTGCTTGTCCTGTAGTATCCACATCACACAGGCTTTGCCTCTCCAACTCCAGGTCCACAAATTCTTGCTCTACACCAAGGAATTCGCTCACCCTTTTCAAGGCATCTGTGCCGAGGTGTGGCAAACGGATGCAACTGAGAATCTCGAGACCAAACTGTTCTCGTTCCTGCGACTCTTTCAGCCAGCTTTTTGCTGACTCGAGAACGGTTTCTTCATTGTCTACATACAGCCCGTCTAGCGACAGAAGTTCAGCTATCTGGCACTGAGGCAGCTGGAGGAAATCAGGAGTGTTCCAGACAGTCTTGAAATGTAGTTCCACGTACTTCTGACTCTTGTACTTCAGGTCTTCCATACCGTACATATCGGAGAAGGCAAACATCCCGACACAGTTGGTCTCGCAGACTTTGGTGAGGAGGAATTTGGAGCATTCTTCCCGAATCTGGTCGCACTGATGGAGGCATGCTGCTGCACACAACTCTTGGACTTGATCTTCAATTACCTGGCACAGAAAACAGTGACTGTAATCCATATGCCAAAAACCAGTTACTCAAGCAACTGGATAATGATGTTGGAAACTGCACAATGTAGGAGCTTTGTGACTAATTTGCACCATCTTGTATTGACATGTCTAACTTTTTTTTTTTTTTTTTTGGACTTTCAAAAAATTGTCTTCACTTATTTGCATATCAATCAAAAGTTTGTGCTTATAAATCTGCATTTCTCCTCTGGTCTCTCAGTCACTGACGAAAGCTAGTGGATACTAGCTGAAACGTCTGACCATTTCCAAAATCATATCCAGTTGCTTGAGTAACTGCTTTTTGGCATATCTTATTAATCCAGGTAGGCTGGATGTCTAACCTTCAATTAAGTCTGTTATTGTCAGTTTAGTATGAGTCTTTGAAACCTAATACCTTATAATGACAAATAAGCGTCAGGAGTAGAGTAGAGTAGAATAGAATCTTCAGTCGGGTGGAGGGGGAACAACAGACGATAAACTAGGTAGTAAGTGTGAGTGTGAGAATACTGCTGGTCTCAGGTTTGCTATCTTTAAGAGGTGATAGTCACCTGTTTAGTGCTGTGTACCTAAACACATGTTTAGGTTCATCAGTTTCGGACTTGTAAGTCAGGACCTAAACACATGGCATATACAAAATTGCATGTAGGCAACCTTGCAATGTTGTCTGGGTGAAACTTTGGCCACATAACATGGAGGCCGACACTTGACGACGCCCGATTGCAATGTTTTCTTCATTTTGCAGCACAGATTTTGCAATTTATGAAAGGGTTTTAGGTGGTTTGGAAAGAAAAGGGGTATGTGACATGCGTTCTTTTTGTAATAAAACTAGAACTGGTTCTTGACTTTTAGTTTTTTTTGGACTTGAACCTAAACATTTTTACAAGTATGGAATCGCGGTCCAGCAAACTGGTACATGTAGCACTACCTCCAGTATCCCAGTGTAGAAGTAGTCCAGTATGAGTCCCATGATGTGCTGACTGATGCCGTTGATGGTGACTCTGTCCTGTTTGGACTCTGCCAGACCTCCCGCAAACATGGCTGAGAAGTAGGGACTGTTGGCTGCCAGGACGTTACGATGACAGGGGAAACTGTGGGATAGAACAGCGAAAACATCAACCCAAGCAACATTCTTCAGAGGCAGAAGTGTTCCAGGGGCGTAAAAAGCTTTACCATAGATGCAGGCAAACTGGACGCTCTATGGCCAGTCAATTCCCCTGGCCAGTTACATTCTTTTTAGGCCAATTTCTACTATTCATTCAGCGTGAAAAAGAGTCCTGGGGAGACTATATTTATACCATGGAAGTACCTCTGCCTCAGAGAATTAGCTAACACAACTGATGTTACCACTTACCATCATGAAGTTTGATACTTTCATGATCAAACATTTGGCAAGGAAGAAATAAAAGGAGAAAACTGGAGCTAGAATAGGATGGATTCCAGGCTAATTTGTTAAGCACTGTGTTGAAGGCATCCAATGCAATTTCAGGACAGCAAAACTGGAAATATTCTCAATAAGGCAATCTTTGTGATATTAACACATACTGCTTCACATTGGCACATTTCAATCATTATTTCATACTTTGGGTATTTAAAACTGGAGAACCAAGCCCCAAAATGAGTCCTTTATTTTATGGGAGATACCCTACAAATCAACCAAGGGCCCTTCCAGTGACGATTGTTCATCAGAATTTTGGGTATTTTTGCTCCATGAGGGTCAATATACACTGGGATAGTGTAGTTTCAACTCAGTAACTAGAATATTGGCTTTGAAAAATCTGGTTTCCATGCCCTAAAAACTGCACTGGATGCCTTTAAGTACTGTTGTTAATGTTGATATGATACACAGCATTCAGGGGTTTTTCTAAACAGGGGAATAAGGGAGCTGCTCCCTCATGTAACCAGCCAGCTCCCTCATATCAATTTTCAAATTGAACCCTATCTTTTTCCAGTAGAGATGTGAAAACAATACAACAATGCATTCTACTATTTCTAGCATTACAAACTGTGTTACTCTTATTAAAAATCCCCCCTCGGTCGCTTCGTTCCTTGCCACGCTTGCGATCTGCTCCCTCATGCTAAATTTTTCTAGAATAATCCCTGGCATTGTTTGATATTCATGATATATATATGAGGGACAAGATGAAAACAAAATCGCACCATGTCCCCTAATTAATGAAGAAAATTAAGAGCACTTTAGAATACTTTAGAAATTTTAGAATACTTTACCTGCGTCCTTCCACCTCCAGTATGACGTCTGTTAGTTCCTCCTTCTGTCTCATGTCCTGAAGTGTCTGTAGAAGCCTTTCGGCCTGACTTGTGGTGTCCTCTAGTCGCAACATAGTGGCTCTGTACTGTCTCACCGTACGTCAAGCCCTGGTCAAGCACCAAGACTAGCAAGAGTCCACGTCTAGCAGAAAAATAGACGTAGTTATTAGAGAATAACCCAATTGCCTAATTAAAATCTAGTTATTCTCTAATAACTACGGATAACTAGTAGATATCAATTTGTGCAAACGTACGTTTGTAGCTTTAACCATTATGCACATGAAAATCATACTTTTATTGCAGTTACTTGTACCAAAGTGCTTATATTATAACTTTAAAGATAATTACATTTGGGGCAATAAAATGTGATAATATCATCCATATGGTCCATAAGATCATGTTCATAAACCTTTTGTACCCAGGTATCAATATTCAGTACAACTACAGTTCTTTCTAAATTTCTTTGTGAGAAAACGATGGTAAGTAAAAATGCCAAATTAGCCAGTGAGGAGACCATAAGCAAGGACAACAAAACAGACAACAAAACAAAACAAAAAAGACAACAAAACGGTTTGTCAGATTGAAAAAAAGCTAATTAGCTAATAACAGGTAGAAAGCTCAGCTTTTAAGATAGGGAAGAAGAATCTTATGATGTAACGGTATATAATTATATGAAGAACATCTGGGCAGAAAACGGTCCCACTTGCCCAGGCTTGTCTCATGCCCCCCTCCCCACCTATACACAAAACAAAGAAAACCTTAGCAAAACTAAATGTTACAGCTTCAATTTAAACTACCGCATCGATAAACTATACCATTATTGACCTGTAGAAGTTAGGTGGCTACCTCAGTCAGGCCAAAACGATGTATTCTTACCTGTATTCAACTTTGTATCACTTGCACGTCTCTCATAATTTTTTTTTTCGTCGTCTGCAATGGACAGAAAGTAGCAGACGATTCGGAGCAGAAAGAAGCTAGCCACAGGTTAGCGACGGCCTATTCGAAACAATCACTTCAGGCATTTTTAATATACAGACTGATATGCACAAGCAGTTACGTCGACTATGTAGCAAGCTGTAAGGCCAAATGTTCAATACGCTTTTTTACTTTAAAGAACTGATATTGTACCCGTAATTATGTATATTATGTAGTTGGTTGTATGAGCTTCAACTTCAAGCAGATGTGGGGAGGGAAACATTGCGCCTCAGAAGACTTTTTTTAGGGAACTCAATGGACAATGGACGCGTAACAGTAGGCGGTTTCCTCTCCCCCGTGTATGCTATCTACTTGGATTCAGATTTACCTTCCCTGTGACAAGGAAATCATGACATTATGCCACAGAGGGGGTTTTGTCTCAGTATCTAGAAGACTAAGACTACGGGGTATTATATGACGGCATACGATTGTACGAGTATAGCTACACCGCGCTCTCACATACACGTGATGTCTTGCACAGGGGATTCTCAGACTGAAGTAGCTTTTTTTTCGGATGGAAACGATAAGCAAGTGCATTATATCCTTGCGATAGGCCAGCGGTATATTTTGGCAGAGTTTCAGTGGCGTACTAAGCCTGAAGCGCGAAAACTCTGCACGTAAAAGAGCCCAACACACTTATAGAGAAGAGTAGGGGTGACATAGCTAAGATGGTTGAAAACACGAGCCATAGAGAAGCCGCGCTGCTTTGCTATTAGTTATTTAAAAAGGCATCAATCATGCTTCACCTCAATTGAGGATGACGTTAGCTTGCTATCTCAGTATCTGCTTCTAGTACTCCCCACGGGCTCAACTTCACCGCAGCGGTAACTTAGATAGGCGGCGAAGGGCTTCTGGCTGCCGAAGGAAAACGGCTAGCGGCCCGAAACTTGTCTGGTACCCAGGGTAGGTATATTTTGACATTCTACTTGTAAAATGTCGTTATTTTGACTGCGCTTCAGTGGCGTATATATAAGCCTCAAGCGTCAAAACCTTTGCACGTAAAAGAGCCCAACACACTTTAATATAGAGGGGTGACATAGGATGGCTGAATCCGGAAAAAAGAACCTTGCTATTAGTTATTTAGAAAAGCATCAATCATGACTCAGCTTTACCTTAGCTTGCTATCTCAGTATCTGGTTTGGTCTTATGTTTCACAGCTCGATAAGCAATGTGTTACTGGATCTCACAAAGCCCCAAGGGGGCCTGCATGCCGTTTTTCGTAAGGCGTAACCAGGCCTTTTAGTCGTCGTAATCCGTAGTTAGCCTCCCCAAAAATTAACGTAATCCGTAATAGTACATTAGCCGCAAAGCTTAAAGTCGTAATCAGCTCTGAGACTTTAACGTAATTCGTAATCGGCGGCGAAATTTTGCGTAATTCGTAATCACTTCTCCCACATGCAGGCCCTCACCAAAGTTTTCGCGCAAGTACTAAAAGTATTACAGTCGGTACTTGAGGCAAAACACTTAACCAAAGGTGCATGCAAACTCGTCTAAGCCCTTAACATGTTTATTTTACACGTTTTCATGTTTATTTCATAAACAACGTTTACAAACTGCCAACAAAATGCAGCAGTATTGAGACCTATTTTTGAGTGGGCGATACACTGGTGATGTTTGCACAAAGCTACTATGACGGTGGCCCACATTATGCCTCAGGTTACAAAACAACCAGTTCTTCTAAAGGACCTGCCTATATCGTCTTTAAGATTGATCACAGAGTAATAAATAGTAGTGGGACATTGAAGCGCGCGGCAGCAGCAGTGGATTTCTAACCCTTAAGTTGAAGATTCTATCACAGGTAAGGTCTTTGTAGCCTCCATAGCAGGCTTATAGAACTGGGGGTTTGGTGGTCTTCGGCTGTTTTCTGATTAGCCCAGGTTTTTTTTCTGGTGGTCTTCCGCTGTTTTCTATTAGCCTCCGTAGCAGGGCTATAGAACTGTGGGTTTGGTGGTCTTCGGCTGTTTTCTGATTAGCCTCCGTAGCAGGCTTATAGAACTGGGGGTTTGGTGGTCTTTGGCTGTTTTCTGATTAGCCTCCGTTGCATGCTTATAGAACTGGGGGTTTGGTGGTCTTCGGCTGTTTTCTGATTAGCCCAATTAAAAAAACGGGGGTAATTCAACGAGGCCAGCTATGTTGTCTATATGCAATCAGAAAATAGCACATAAAGGCACCCAAAGACACTGAAGACCCCCAAAACCTACAGTTTTTGGCACGCTATGGAGGCTTAAGTCTTTGGAGAATGATGTATGTTTGAGTATGGCCTTTATAAAGAGGACTCAAGCGCATTGTTAGTCGGACGTACCTTGCAAAATTTAGTAAGAGTCTGGTTCGTTAAGCGATCATCAAACTAAGTGAGGACATTTTTGAGATGGCCACGCATGTGTCGCACAAAATTCAGCTGTCCTGCTTCGTAAAATGTTGTCTTAGATCCTTAAATCGGTGGTTGACATTTCGTTTCAGGCCATCTGCGGAAATATGAGGAGCATCATTTATCTCGTCGGCCTGCTTGTGTTTTGCCTTGGGAGAGGTAAGTTTTCACGACTTGCCTAATGTATATTTAAAAACCGTGGACTGTTGACTTCCACAGACGTGATGGTAAGGTTCATTTCCAGCGTTAAGGCGAAAATGTCGGGAAATGTGAATCGTGAAATAGGGATAAAGTTGCTGTTGTTTGCTTGGTCGGAAAGCAGCTTGTTATATATGATAGGTTATTCCATGTTTGTATCATTTCTCTCAAGAAAACGTATGCTAAAATGGTTCCGACGCAGTCGATGTATATTTTGAAGTCAAGTTATAAAGTTTTTCTGTGTATATAGATCGGCCTGATAGAAATCCTACTATATTAACATAGTTTACACTTGTTTAAAGTATAAGCAACAATATTAGGTCTTACAAGCTGTAACAAATGACACATGTAGATGATATCGTTCCACTTTTTAAAGATATTTTTCCATCCGCCTAACTTTACCAGATGTGCTCGGGATTTCCGACGAGTCCCGACTGATCACGAACTTGCTGCGGAACTATGTCTCCAAAGCTCGGCCAGTGTTAGAGAGTAGCACGCCGGTCACCGTGGCCATAGACATCTCACTCGCACAGATCAACCGGGTGGTGAGAAAAAATCTTTTTATATTTCCCTTCATACCGTGGTATGGATGAAATATATTGTTTTCCCTCATATGTTCCTCCTTTTTCAGTCCTGCCCTTTCGTTAAATGGATTCAAGTTCTTCATTTTGAGGCTAAATGGCCTTAAATTTGACATGAAGGTAGAGTGGACAGATACTAGTATCTAGTATCCTCGGACGCTTTTCTGAGATACTTTATATCTTGAGGTATCTCATTGAGGTACTTTATATCTTGAGGTATCTCAGTGAGGTACTTTATATCTTGAGGTATCTCAGTGAGGTACTTTATATCTTGAGGTATCTCAGTGAGGTACTTTATATCTTGAGGTATCTCAGTGAGGTACTTTATATCTTGGGGTATTTCAGTGAGGTACTTTATATCTTGAAGATGACATACTTTAAAAGCTATCATGGGAGACATAAACGCATGCACGCAGAGCAGGATTTAAGATGTATTTATAGGTTGCCTCTGAAACTACTAGATAAGAACTTAAATCTTAAATGATGCGGTATTTTCCTTTAGTATATGAATTTCTGATCACAACGAAAAGATTGTAAGCAATATTATATAATGGTAAAATGTAAAGTAAGGGTCCCCAAAGCCTTTTGAGGCCTTAAGGGCAGTGGATTGTTAATCCACTGTGTAAAGGCACGGTATTGGAAGGTAGAGCCCATCCCTCTTCTTCCATCTACAAGGGAAAGGCGCAATGACATGGCATCGGCGTCGTTAAAGGCAGTTTTTAGGGCTTGAAAACCCGATTTTTCAAAGCCAATATTCTGGTCATTTATCTACATACCACACTATCCCAATGTATTTTGACAATGTAAATTGGGCTGATTTTTAAGGTACCACTCAGAAAATAAAGGACTCATCTTGGGGCTTGTTTCTGCAGTTTTAAAAGCCTTAAGTATCAAATACTGATACACGTATGCTAATTGCATTGGATGCCTTTAAAAACATCGTGTTTTTGTAAACAGCGTACCCTTGAGGGGTTGTTTTGGGTCATAAATAGACTTATTATTGGATCCAAAATGCAAACACCAAACGTAAGAGCTAAGCTCGTTTTACAAACCCGTGTACCGTCTGTATTGAGCGAAGCAGCTCAAGGATGACAGATGCATTATGGGAGCTCCGAGCTACCTTACAGATGACGTAACGTAACACCCCGGGGCATTGTGGGAGCGCCAAGCTACCTTACAGATGACGTAACGTAACACCCCGTGGCATTGTGGGAGTTCCAAGCTACGTTTCTAGATGACGTAACGTAACACCCCCTCATCGATATACCAGGCTATTAGCGGCAAGATACCCATGTCCTCTCCCCGTACAATACCGTGTAGCTTACGTTACGGGCTTCATTTGGGCCGTCCTTTATCAAGCGTAAGACTTATGTGGGATTAGGATGATGTTACTTTTGAAGGTATCAATAGCGTGGTCGTCTTTCTCAATATGCATGTTTTCTATTGAGACATGTATCATCTATACGTGTGAAATTTTAGCCTTGTACTATAAAAAAAGGTGAGCTCAAAAAAGATTTTTTTTTTCTGGCAGGACGCCAAGAACCAGCAGATTGTCACAAACCTGTGGGTGAGACTGGTGAGTACTGTAAATACGTTTATATCATACCCGGGCCGCGAAGACGTTCGATAACGGGTTCCGGACCCATGGGACCGGGCCGTACTTTGCGGTACGGCCCGGTCCGGAACCCGTTATCGAACGCTTCCATGGCGATCCGACCCGCGGTCGGGCCGATACCTCGGGCGATACGGAATACCCCGTGTTGTATTCTATATTTATTTTCGCGGTGACTTTATTTCACCCTAAGAGGTTTGTCGTTGAATCTATTCTGTTATGCGAAAACAAATATAAGTAGTCTGTTACATCTATCTCATCTACCTTTTTGCCATATCAAGTACTGGCAGGATGAGAATCTGCTATGGAATGAGACCCAGTATGGAGGTGCCTCAAGTATCCGGATTCCCAGCGCGGAAATATGGACTCCAGACATTGTTCTGTACAACAGGTACTGAAATAGATCTATAACACACAAACTTGTATATTCATTTGTGTGCAAATGTGTGTGTGTGTGTGTGTGTGTGTGTGTGTGTTTGTGTGTGTTTGTGTGTGTGTGCGTGTGTGTCTGTGGATAGTGTTTAGCACCAAGGACAGACATGATCACCTGTGTGCGGATGATGTTCAGCACCAAGGACAGGCATGTTCACCTGTGTGTGGATAGTGTTCAGCACCAAGGACAGGCATGTTCACCTGTGTGTGGATAGTGTTCAGCACCAAGGACAGGCATGTTCACATGTGTGTGGATGGTGTTCAGCACCAAGGACAGACATGTTCACCTGTGTGTGTGTGTGTGTGTGTGTGTGTTTGTGTGTGTGTGTGTGTGTTTGTGTGTGTTTGTGTGTGTGTGTTTGTGTGTGTGCGCGCGTGTAGTCAGTGCGGAAATCTGAAATTTCTTCCTGAACTTATCCAAATTCATCCATCCCTTGAATCCTTGCGTAGAATCGAAGGCGACGAAACCAGTGACATCCCGAACACCAACGCCATCATTACGTCATCCGGTGACGTCACGTGGCTGTATCCGGTCACCATGGTCAGCTCCTGTAAGATGAACGTTTATAAGTTCCCGTATGATGAACAGATCTGCAAACTGCAGTTCGGCTCCTGGACCTACGACGGCTTCAAGGTCAACATCACCAACCGGTAAGACCCTGAATGTCACAATGAAGGGTTAATGACCCGCCTCGAGGTGTATATGGTGTGATAAAGCCTTGTCAGTTGCTATAACCACCGAATAAAACCACCGAGTGAGCGTAGCGATAATGCACACCTGGGATGATTTTGCAATACTTGTATCATGCTAACTGTGACATTATGGTGTCATAATCAATATGAAACAGGGGCTTTTTGATTGGTCAACGCCACATGTTTATATGATAATAGTATGTTAATGTATCTGAATTGTAACCGACATTGTTAATTGTTTATAATTTTTATTGTCCTGTTACGAGGGATAGCTCTTTGTAATAGCCTCTGGTTAGTTGGACAGTCCTGGTTGTATATTTGTTAGTACAGTTAATAAATTAAATCAATGCCCTGTAACCGTTGTCTGAATAAATGCCTCCGGCCCAGAGCCGTTGCCAAAAACATGATTTTCTGCACATTGACGTACCAACTCAACAGTACATTGTCTATAACACTATTTTGTAGCTAATTCAGTATCAAGTGCATTTTAGAAGGAGGATTTCGTCTGCACGGCGGTCTGTCACTACGGTATTCTTTCCCATTGCTAGGCGCGTTCTAAAAGGTATCGGGTTACAAGACGCTATTTTGGCCTGTATTGGACTACCCGTAAAATATTTGAAAATAAGCAAATAATATTCAGGGGTAAATTTCGTCAAATTTAAATGAAACTATCGTCTTAACATCCTTTAGATTTTAGCTTTTTATGTTAAATCACTGATTTTTTAAAAATTTCGCTCAGAAAGACGATTATTTTCGGGTTTCCGAGCACAAGTCATGTCACGTTTTTAGGCAAACATCGTTCAAACCTGGCTACGTATACGTATATTACCCCAGATCCGCAATTTTTATATTTTTCGCAGACTAGGAATAAGATAAAAAATCGTGTTTTAGGGATTTTTTAATTTCTGATTTTAAGTCTAGTTTTTGTCGACATATTGGTGAAAAAATGGCATTTTTTGACATTTTTCTCACTAAATTACCCATAATTAAAAATTGAGGCCATTTTTCAAAAATCCCTAAAACACGATTCTCGGGACAACCGTTACAGTCATTTTGAGCCGTAAATGGGGTATGCTTGACTCTCCATGTTTCCAGGTTTGAACGAGTTTTGGAGACATGTCATATCGCCAGAAAGTGTGCATTGTGTTATTCATACTGGTGTAAAGAATCATTACAGTATTCAAGGTCACCCAAGGATACGACAGTAGCTTCGCTACATGTTACATACCCGCCAAAAATTATAGCGGGCATGTACTGTCCAGGAAACTGTTTGTATCTATAGAAAAGTGTTCTTTTTTATCTATTGGGAGGCACTCAGGCAGAAGGGCTTGTTTTGCCGCTTTATAGTAAATGACCGCAGGTGACCCCGAAATGGAACGCGGGTTCGATTCGAATTGCCCAGATCGAACACAATCGAACACAGTTCGGATTCTATGACATGTGGGAACTTTGCAGCCCAGATTTGACCACCGTGCTGACTTAAAGCACTTGGGCGATTTCTATCGATAATGTATAGCCAATGGCTTACTTGAAAGTTCTAGCCTATATAAGGGTCAAGGCATTCTAATGAAAAAGGTGTTAGGAAAGCATATCTCAGTCAGTCTGTTGTTTGGGTTGGTTTTTTTTAGGAATGCCAAAGGTGACAGCAGTAATTTCATTCTGAACGAGCAGTGGGACTTGTTGGACCTGGCTGCGGTGAGGAACGAGCTGATCTATCCCTGCTGTCCCGAACCTTATCCTGATGTCACTTTCCACATATCCATGCGCAGGTACGCAAACGTACTAATGAGAATTGGGAAACTAGAGACAAGGTTAGTTTAAAAAAATAATACCTCGTATTTTTGCGGTTTTTTTTTGCGAATTAGATTTGATTTAATATTTTTTTGGCATTTAGAATGCATAATCTCAGTGTAGGTGGACTCACTTCGTCCAAGTTTGCAAGGAGACCATTTTGACTTGTCAACTTGACCTTAATGTCAATCAACGGTTAAAATTACGATTGATAATCACATCGCTTACAGGAAGTCGTTGTACTACGTGTTCTACGTGACCGCACCAATTACCATGGTGACAGACGTCTGGTCCTGGTCATTGACCTTATTTAAAAGATTACACTTACATCCGTTCCAGGAAGTCGTTGTACTGCGTGTTCTACGTGACCGCAGCAGTTACCATGGTGACAGACGTCTGGTCCTGGCCATTGACCTTATTAAAAAAATTAAACTAATTACATAATTACACCCGTTCCAGGAAGTCGCTGTACTATGTGTTCTACGTGACCGCAGCAATTACCATGGTGACAGACGTCTGGTCCTGGTCATTGACCTTATTCCAAAAATTAAACTAATTACATAATTACATCCGTTCCAGGAAGTCGCTGTACTGCGTGTTTTACCAGTTACCATGGTGACAGACGTCTGGTCCTGGTCATTGACCTTATTCAAAAAATTTAACTAATTACATAATTACATCCGTTCCAGGAAGTCGCTGTATTACGTGTTCTACGTGATCGCCCCGTGCGCCATGATGGCTGTGATGGGCCTGCTGGTGTTCTGCATGCCGTCAGACTGCGGGGAGAAACTGTCGGTCGGCATCACCATGCTGCTGGCGCTGGTCGTGTTCGCGCAGATCATCGCCGAGAGTCTGCCGGCAACCTCACGATACATCCCGCTTATTGGTATGGAACCTGTTCCATCGTATGTTACTGTACTGCTGTGAAATACTCCATTATATGTTCAAGACTCATGTACATGTTGTAATAAAGGGTTAATGCCCCGCCCCGAGGTGTATATGGTGAGATAATCCCTGGTCAGGTGCGATAACCACCGAAAAAAAAACCAAGTGAGCCCTGTCCCCTGTATAATGGTACTGTCCAAAAAGTGGTCGGTTATTCTAATAACCGATCACCTTTTGAGGTTACGGCCCGATAACCAATGGCAAATGGAGCCTTCTGATTGGTCAACGCCTTGTGGCTACATGATAATGTTTTGTATTCCACGGTTTCTTTTGGAATGATGGGCGCATGGGGATGCAAAAACCCCTACGTCTAGACACGAAGAATGTTTAGAATCGAATTGTATGGGACAATTCAAATCACAGAACAGATCAACTGACATCCACGTGACGATGGCACTACCAACTTCATTTGGAGTTAAGACGTAGGTTTGGGGTTACTTACCCAAACAACAACGGTCAAAATGACAGCATTGTTTCTGTGTAAATGTAATTTATGAGGAAGCTGTTGTCTTCCGAATGATCTATGCTGCTTTCATGTAAAACTAACGCTCGGAACTGTCTCTACCAGGTCAGTTCTTCGGCTGTAGTGTGTGCATCGTCGCCATCTCATCAGCCATCACAGTCCTGGTGCTGAACCTGCACTTCCGCGGACCCAAGCCCACCCCTGTGCCGAAATGGCTCAGGTAAACATTGACACTCACAGCACGAAAACCGATATTTAAGCAAACTTTCCGCAATATGTAAAGAATTATAAAAGGTGGGAAAATATTTCAGGAGACTTTACGACTTCGTAAAGGCCGATGAAAGGCAAATTACGCATTTTCGCCACCTTTCAGTGCGCTTAAATACGACGTAAATATAATACATATCTTTACGATTACTTTTACAAATCCGTAAATATCCTTTACTAATCTCCAAGCAGATACCTTTCAGTGGCAAGACAGTAACCATTAGCAAGAGGAGTTTGTACGGCCACCGAAGGTACAAACTCCTCTCGCTATTGGATACTGTCTTGAAACCGAAAGGATCTGCTTGGAGATTACTCTGTCACTGCCAACTGTGTCATCTGAATTTAAATTTCTACTAGCAGATTTGAATTTCTGTGGATGTCTACTAGCAGATTCCTATAAATATATGTTAGTGGATTCCTATTAGTCAAACCTATGATCTACCAGCAAATGCTTATGAAACAAGTCTAAGATCTGGTAGCAGATTCTTATGAAGCAAATGTAAGATCTACAAGCAGATTCCTATGAAGCAATTGCAAATTTAATTCTACTAGCAGATTCCTATGAAGCAAATTTTAGATCTACTAGCAGATTCCATTGAAGTAAGCCCATGCCATAGGAGCCATTATATTTCGATAATGGCTTAGATGAAACTGCATGTTTTTCCTTTTACACATATCACTTTGTCTTTCAGGAAAATCGTCCAAAAAGTGAGAATCGTCTTCCCATGCTTCCCACCAAACACACGCGTCCGAGCGCTCCAGGCAGAACAACAACAGAACAACCTTCGCAAGGGCTGCGGTGTCATCACCGACCGTCCTAAGACTTCGTTCGGCTTCGTGGAAGTCAATCTCGACCGTAACGACAACAGGAGCTGCGACCTTTCCCGAGCCTACTCGATGATGCAACGGAAACTCGAGGAGCAGGTGGGTTAGGAATTTTCCTATGCACAATACGTCATGTGAATCGGGTTCATTTTACCTAGTATTCAATGCACAGTAATCAATGTTTCTTGGGAGATCAGATGCAAGAACGTCCCAAAAGATTAGTTATGTTTACCGAAGGAAAATATATTGTTTTTGCTCTGTTTTCTCTTCTTCTTCTCCAACTCAATAAGGTCAATGACCTTAGCCAGACGTCTGTCACCATGGTAACTAATGTTGCAATTTTATAGCTGGAGGGATTTAGACTCCTGTCTGACCATATATAGCAATGTGTTTGAGTAAGAATTAACAGAGCAGACCAAATGCGAAGGTAAAAAGTGTACATTTGCTTTGCAAATGTTACCTTTCTAGTTTTGCTTCTATCCTCACACACTGCAGGCGGCCATGTTGAAACTGTTGGTGGACAAGATGGTGGAGAAGCAGCGGGAGGAACTGGTGAGAGACGAGTGGCAGAATACCGCTGTCCTCATCGACAAGCTGCTGCTCGGCGTCTTCCTATTGGTCCTCGTCCTCGGCTCCATCATAGTGTATGCATGACGTTTACAATCACGTGATGATAGCCTTGCCAATGACAGCACAAAATACGACGACGGGTGTTCTTGGCCAAACTCGAAGTTCATTGGACAAGTAACTAATTGGGTTGAATTTGACGAATGTACATTGGGTGATTTGAGATTCGAAATTGTTTGAACTCTTTTCCCTTGCATTGTATTGACGTCTAGAGACAGATCAGTAATTTGGTAGTAATGCATTTATAGAGAGATTTATCTTTTTATCCGTATATAAATAATAGCATCAGGTTTATGAATGATATTCGATGTCAAAGTTCTTTATTCACAACCGTACCATTTGTTTACAAGAGCCGACGTTTCAATGACCATCTGTCATCTTCATCATTTCGCATTTCTTACTTATCATATATTACGCTGGCTATAGATTCATAGAACAGACAATAATGAATTATTAACATTTTCAACAGAAGCTACTTTATAGCTTTTTCTTCTGAAAGTGTAAGCACATAAGATATATAAAGACACAAATTTAATGATCACGTATACCCTTGTGCCATCTTACATAAAGACATTACAATATCGTCTCTCTATAATATTGACAAGATCTATACAGATAACTTCTTATGTCAAATGAACATTATCATGTTAAAACGTGTAACAATAACGTCGACTTTCCATCTAAACAGACGAGAACATTACGAACACGCTGCATTCTAAATATAATCTTGTCCACATAGTCATATATTGTGTAGTCATACAAACAAACCACAGTGAGCGTGTTTTTCTAATTACTAGTAATCTGCTTGAGGAATAGAGATGCAACAAATACTTAACCACAAGGCACCACCATAATATTATAAGCATGGTGATTCCCTAACACTGGTAATTGTAGCCATTATACAACCTGAACGGCTTAATCAACTACAGTATACAGGAGCTGTTTATCACTGAGTACTAGATACAACAATTTTCAAATAAAACCAATGCTGACGTCTTTAGCCTTTTGAAAGTTACTGAATACATCATCACTGAATAATGGCACAATCTAAGGAGCTTCAATCTGTAGCCATTATACAACCTGAACGGCTCAATCAACTACAGTGTACAAGAGTTGTTTATCACTGAATACTGAATACAGCAATATTTAAATGAAATCACTGCTGACGTCTTGAGCCTTTTAAAAGTTACTGAATACATCATTACTGAATAATGACACAATCTAAGGAGCTTCAATCTGTAGCCATTATACAACCTGAACGGCTCAATCAACTACAGTGTACAGGAGTTTTTTGTTAATCACTGAGTACAGAATACAACAATTTTCAAATAAAATCAGTGCTGACGTCTTTAGCCTTTTGAAAGTTACTGAATACATCATTAATGAATAATGACAATGACAATGAACTTTATTGCATGTTCACGCCCTACACGGGCCAAATGCACTTAAGTTAAATAACTTGGTAACAAGAATAGAAGAAGCAATTGTTACACTCGTATGCTATTTCTCTATCTATAGGATCTAACTACAGGATCTCTTCTCTCTTTTTGAAACATGTATGAACAAATTTACATAGTTTTTCAATTATATCATAGCGCTTGGATGTCATAATATGTTTGAACAATTCTATTTTCGGCAAGTATGCAAATTTCTTTTCTAACTGTAAGGAGCTAATAAAAGATTTCCGGATGTCATTGTATACCGCACATTCTAAAACAAAGTGTGCTTCATCCTCTATACAGTTATAGTTACATAATGACACAATTTAAGGAGCTTCAATCTTGATTACAACCATTATGAGTGACTCTCACGAATTCTCATCAGCAAAGCGCTCTATCTTACATCACCTTCTAATATTGTGCAAGTAGTTTTACACTGTGCCATCATACAAATAAATCATAATCATACATGTACTTACATGTTATCTATGGACCCCACTTATTCGTGTAGACCTTTCCACTACGGCACTAAAGCTGTAAATTTCAGGGTTGATCGCCGAATTCAAGACTGTAGACGGTGGAAGGGGGAGGGGCGTTGTTTTGAGTGAACATGGCTGATCAGACGAAATTGTCAGCTAGTCATCTGCATATTATCAGCTGCTGGATTCTTTATTCGTTCGAGTCTCGGAAAAATTTCATTCCATTGGTACATTTGCATATGTTTAGATTGTCAATTTGATCATCAGAAAAGTCCAACGTACTGCTCAGGAGTTTCTTAATTAGCTTCTGGTTCTTGTTTCAGTTTTGTTCCTTGATTGCCTTGGCCGACATGGTGAACGACAGTACTAGTGTTTCTCTGGTATTGCCTGATTGAAATGCATTTTTTAAATGTATATTCCAATATGTAATCACAAGACGTGGTGGGGACACACTCAAGTTTTTTCAAATTATATCAATGCCGCCATCAACACGGGACAATACTCATTTTCACCTGAGCGAAGTGAGGAAAGTCGTGTAAAGTACCTTTCCCAAGGGCGCCACAAGATCGGTGGCATGTCAGGACTCGAACCCGGGACCTCTTGGTTCCGAGTCGAGCACGCTGCCTCTACGCCACACGACCCCACGTTCCATTTAGTTAGCGTTCCCAAAACTGTTTGCGAAGAGCCGCACAACACCGCGACGGACCTCTTTGAGACGAAAGCCGTAGACGACAGGGTTGATCGCCGAATTCATCACGATGAAGACCATCATTCTGTAGAGCACCGAGTAGTCGTCGGTGAACATGGCCATCCTGATGAAGATGGGCAGCCATCCAACAAGAAACACGATGGTGATGATGACCAGAGTGATGCCGGATTTTCTTTTGATACTAGGCTGGGCCCCCACCGCGGCTTCTTGAGCAGATATGGCGTTGACGTGCTTCCACAGGCACCACAGCACGCCCATGTTGAGGACGATGATTGCCGCCATCGGGATGAAAACGAACACCAGCACCACAACCACGTAGCTGGGAGGCAGCCCTCCCCCTATCGGGAGGCAGCCTTCGTCGCATCGCCAGCCGAGGATGGGCGGCATCGCCAGCAGCCCAGACCAGGCCCAGACTAGCGCGATCACGACCTTACACTTGTCGTTGGTGACGTTGTTGATGTAGGTCATCCCGTGTACGATGAACCAGTAGCGCTCAGCCGTTAGCGCCATCAGACTGTAAGCGGAGGACAGTCCGGAGAGGAAGATGGACGTGAACATGACTCGTGAGGCGGTTTTGGACAGGGGGGACTCCACTGCGTAGACGTAGTACACCGTCGTACTGGTCCCGACCACGAAGGAGAGACCGGTCATGACGTCGCTTGCGGCCAGGTTAGCCATGAGGATGTAGGCGGGGGAGTGAAGATGCTCGTACTTGCTGATGGCTGCTAGCGGGAGGCTGTTTGCCACGCAGGACCACAGGCCGAGGCCGATGGTAACGGCTGCAATCGGTTTGAAATACTCTATACCGGGATAATCCGGCGCTTCCCCCGGGCTCTGCGGACATTCTGGTGCGTTTGAAGAGAAATTCTCTCCTACCTCGGAGAGGTTGCCCATCATCGCGGTGTTGCAGTCGGCGGGCGAACTACTAGTATTCCCCGCCGAGGAGTTGTCAGTGACCGCCTTGTCGCCAGCCTTCTTCCCGATGTCCTGCCCTGATGCTAACGGTATCTGGGCGTACCGAACCGTCACCAGTAGGATCAACAACACCGCCCCGATGTAGTTATTACCTCTGTAATTCATCCTTCTTTCGTGATTTTTACCAAACAAAAGGTACAGAATACGTGAGTTCTAATCCCTCTGATGTTGCGGAGAGTGAGAAATACACCACTAGCGTGAGAGCTGCATCTTAAAAACAACTGGTGTCCATGGCAACGCCGAACGTCACTTGGTGTATACGTATCTTGTGTAATTAGCCATATATTGTGTCGCCTTAGTGGCAAACCTCGACCTTTCGTAAGACCTATAGAAGAGCCCAAAATACATCATGATCCACTTCAACACAAAGTACTCAACAACTTCTGGTATGTGTAGCCATAACAACCAGAATCTTAGGCCGTGTTTATGTGAAGTCACCCAAATGCAAGGCGCTTTACATGTGGTTTACCCCGAAGCCGGTTTCAAGTGGCCCCGTCTGAACCCTCCAAATCACACTGAAAGCGCCTCGATCCCAAGCCACTTCTAGAGGTGGTTTCGAATCGGTTTTCCCGCATCGCGATTTGCGTCTGAACGCAATGTGATTTCAATGTGACTTCACTTGGTCATGATATTTCTTTATTTATATGCAATACCAAATTTTAAGTGCCATTAATGCAGTAATGGTCAAATAATGTGTCCGTTCTAGGAGGAGCTTCACCGCCTCTGGCGGGACCACGTCGGCATTTGGCCGAGATACGCTGGGAGGGGGGGCACCAGCAAGCAGGTCGTTGACACGCTACCTAGCGTGTTTTCATCAAACAACAATGAATGTAGTTTCGGAGAATCGTGATCGAGCACGTTTTAAAAGCCACGTGGACCAGATGTGAGGAATGTGAGTTACCCGAATCGCGGTTTGGGTGAATTCACATAAACACGGCCTTACAGACGGGAGATGGTGATCCTTGATGGTCAAAAGGGCCTTAACCTTTCAACATCTCACCAAGACTATACTAATCTCATCATTTTTCGATGAGGGCAGTAGATAGAAGTAGTAGGAGTTCGTATGTGGTCTGACTAAGAGACTTTTGACCTTTAACTGTGTTTGTAATGTGGTTATCATAGCACTTTCAACCTTTGAATAAGCCTAGTGTGGCACAGCCACAGGGTTCGAGCCAAGCGCAAAATCAGGTAATCTTATAAGGTATATATTTATTCCTTGACAATTAAGCAGACACAAAAAGGACTAGAGTAATAAAGTTACACATATACGTACATGGTGTTCTCTTACTGTTATGTTTACCGAAGGGAAACATTTTGTTTTTGCTCTGTTTCCTCTTCCGTTCCAAACACAAAAGTCAATGACCAGAACCAGACGTCTGTCACCATGGTCACTGGTGTTGGGTTACATCATGTTGCAATTTTATAGCTGGAGGGATTTAGACTGCTGTCACCATATATATGAATGTGTTTAAGCAAGAATTAACAGAGCAGACCATATGCGAAGGTAAACATCATACATTTGCTTTGCAAATGTTACCTTTCTAGTTATATGTAATAACACTACCTAACAGTCACATGAGACGAGGACGAGTCACCAATTTACACAGTTTCAGCGTCCGTTACTGTTCACGAACAGCCGTGCAACGCTGCGACGGACCTCCCGCAAACGAAAGCCGTAGACGACAGGGTTGACTGCCGAATTCAACACGATGAAGACCATTACTTTGTAAACGGAGACGTAGTCTTTCGTAAGCATGGCCATCCTGGTGAAGATGGGCAGCCAGCCCACCATGAACACGATCGTGATGATGACGACGGTAAAAGCTGACTTTTTGTTGATGCTAGGTCGGGCGCCTACCGCGGCTTCTTGAGCAGATATGGCGTTGACGTGCTTCCACAGACACCACAGCACGCCCATGTTGAGGAGGATGATCGCCGCCATCGGGATGAAAACGAACACCAGCACCACAACCACGTAGCTGGGAGGCAACCCTCCCCCTATCGGGAGGCAGCCTTCGTCCACGCGGCTTACACATCGCCAGCCGAAGATCGGCAACATCGCTAACAGCCCAGACCACGTCCAGACTAGCATGATCAAGACCCTACACTTATCATTAGTAACATTGTTGACGTAAGTAAGTCCATGCACGATGAACCAGTAGCGCTCAGCCGTTAGCGCCATCAGACTGTACGCAGAGGACAGTCCAGAGAGAAAAATCGACGTGAACATGAGCCGTGACATAATCTTAGGCGGAACACAGCCAGTCTGTACATAGAACAGTGTCGAGCCACTCCCGAACACGAACGCTATACCAGTGAGGACATCACTAGTAGCCAGGTTAGCCATGAGGATATACACAGGCGTGTGTAGCTGGTCGTACTTTATAACAGCTGCTACTGGGAGGAAATTCGCCACGACTGACCAAACACCGAGGCAAATGGTCGCGGCTAAGATCATGATATCGGTAGAGTCTTGCTCTCTAGGGAAAGATTGAAGAGTTCCACAGTCTGATACTACTTTTTGTCCTACCTCAGAAGCGTTGCTAATCGCAATGGTGTCGCTGTTTTCCGGAGAACGTAAAATTGACGAGTAGTTGCCCGGTTTGAACTCACGCCTTTCAGCCGAGGTTACCCGCGTGCAACGATCCGTAATGATGAGAATGACAAGAATAACGTAATGCCCACTGGTATGCATCGTCCTGGCGTGCAGGTGGATTTTTAAAATAACCGTGAAAAAAGGGTCTTACGGCAAGGACAGCAGCCTGGTAACCAGACCACCGCGAGCTCAGCGCTATCCCTTCGGCGCCGAGAGCGTTTGGGCCCGCCAACCAGGCCTCAGTGTCCGCGCTTCGGGGGGGGTTAAGTTTCTTCGCTCACTTTGAGTCGGCGGCAACAGAAGACAAAGCGTAATACAGGAAGTCAGCGGATACAGGGAAACCAGCTGGAGATAGGTCCGTGGTATAACTCGCCTTTGCTTGGTAAAGGCCGAAAAATTACCGCCAAGCCGACCAAAGGTTTGGTACCCAGGCTACAAGGACAGCTAGCTGCACTCGCGTGAGAAATGTGTCTTAGTGTCGGCGCCAGCTTCAAATGTGCTCCTCGGCAACGATATTTTACGTCACTTTCTAATCTCCGTACAAATGCATTGTTACCGAATTTATTACACAGTACGTAGTACCACCATTAAGTACGACATTACTGTAAGTGCACGCACAAAAACCTGAATGGCTCTGTCAACGGATTCAAAGATATCGTACAACCCTTGGCCTTTTTAAATCCTACTTTAGGCAAAGTTACACAGCTTTTAAGCATCTATAGTATTGATAATCGTCGTAGTAGCAGGCTGGTGTTCCCTCAAGGTTTTGACATTTACCTGGATTTATAAAAGGTAGTAAAGTTCATCTGTGTTGGCAAGTCATTAAAAGTCACGGATGAAACTGTGGATCCAGCATGCTGGCAACTTTGGGTAATGCAGTGGCAAACACAATATTGCCATTACAACATAGGCCAGACACAGTTGAGTATGCATGCACAACATGGTTCGATCTTTGGCTAGACGTAGCCTCTACCAGGCTTCAGGAGGAGGCTGGAGTAGAAATTGGCCAAATAGAGATAACATGCCAGGGGAGTTGGTCTGCTGGAGAGTAGTTTGCCGCTCCCAAACTGTGCTCTCCAGCAGGCCAACTCCCGTGGCATGCTATCTCTCTATTTGGCTGATTTCTACTCTTGCCAGCCGCCTCCCAAAGCTTGGTAGAGGCTTGGCTATACGTGTGTCGTTGGGAGTGGCACTGCTTTTCAATCAAGCCAGGTGTAAAATGGTGCCTGACCTTGGTTTGGGAGGTGGGTTTGGTATGCAAGGCTGTGGAAGGTGAGGGATGGGTCCTACCTTGGGATTAACAATCCACTGCCCCTACGGCCTCAAAAAGGCTTTGGGGACTAGCTTTACCTTCATTGCATCTTAGATATAATATTTGATATTGATAGAACAATCTATACGTTCATCCTTAATTTCTTGTTGCCTTGATGTCTGTAATATGTAAAACGTGGGGGGATGAGAATAAGTGTATCATGTTTCTTCCTCCCCTGGCACTTCATCTTTATGTTTACCAAAGGAAAACATTGTTTTTGCTCAGTTTCTTCCTCTTCTTCTCCAAAATAAGGTCAGTGACAAGAACCAGACGTCTGTCACCATGGTAACTAGTGTTGGGTTACATCATGTTGCAATTTTATAGCAGGAAGGATTTTGACTCCTGTCACCATACATATATGAATGTGTTTGAGTAAGAAATAACAGAGCAGACCATGTCCGAAGGTAAACATTATGCATTTGCTTTGCAAATGTTACCTTTCTAGTTCACTATTGTATCCACTAGTATTGTACCTCTTTCTATGCAGAAAACGAACAACCAACAAACAAACAGTAACAACAAAACAAACTCTTGTGTCTATTTGACTTTAATAGACCATATGATGGGACTTATGTTGGCATAAGCTGTTTGATGGTTCCAATTTTGCTCAGTGCGTCTGTTATAAAAACATGACCACTGCACCATAGGAAACCACTACGGCAGCAACATTACTGGACTAGTCAAACAAGCCGAAGCCCATGTCGTCATCAGATTCTTCTTCTTCCTCTTCTTCCACCTTGGCTTCCTCCTTGGCTTCTTCAGCAGGTGCAGCCGTAGTGGCAGCTGCAGCCTGGAAGGCTGAGGGGTCGGCCAAGAAGGCCTTCATCTGGAAAACACATCAGCATAAGATCAGCTGCTGTAGGTTAATTATCTTTTATCTTGCTAGATCAACTACTAGTATTGTAGTTTTCTTCTGTTAAATCTTGGTAAGTCCAGCTGCTGTAGTTGTATGATTCTAAATCTTACTATTCCTATTGTCACTGTCCCAAAAATCAATTTCAGTTGTCCCGAAGTGAGGACGAACTGTCCCAACCTGTTTTGGGGAAGTTTTGTATGACTTCAACTTGAAGTCAACTTTATTTTGCTTATGTTCACTCCAAGGCGCACTATAATTGCAGAGTAGCACTATAATTGCAGAGTAGAGAGGAAATTCAGGGGGACTTTTTCGGATTCAAAAGCCGGGGCGTGTGCCTGATAAACAAAAGAAGGGCTGACATTCTGATGTCGATTTTTGTATTGTCCCAAAAAGGTCCCAAAGTGTCTTTTTAGTTGTCCCAGCCTACATTTTAGTGGACAGTGGCCATCGGGCCACCTTTAATTTCGAGCCCTGCAGATGTCTTACTGAGGAAAGACTGCGTGTGTAAGAATGTCAGTTAGCTTGAAAAATGAATCCACTTTACTACAGGGCTCGAAATACTGGGTGCATGTGCACCTTAGTGCACCCAAATTTAAAGCTGTGCACCCAATTTTTTTCTGTGGGTGCACTGGTGCACCCAAATATTTTGTAGGTATTTTTGTACATATTAAATGTATAACAGTATACAGCATATTCTTGGCATCTAAGTGTCAGAAATCTTTGTTATAGTACTTGTTTTTGATTTTGAACTTTGCTCCCATTTTAGATTCAAGCTCAGAAGAGGAGCAGTAAGATCTGTAATTAGGTTTTGTTTTACATGGTGCACCCAAAAAATTTTCTGTGCACCTAATTTTTTAGGTTGGGTGCACCAGTGCACCTATTCCCAAAAATAAATTTCGAGCCCTGTACTTTATGGTGCTTTTCAGTAGATGTTACCTGTTCAGCCTGGGAGAAGGTGATGTCTGTCTCTGCTGCGATGGCCAGCAGGTTCTTGAAGCCGTTGGCGACGGAATGTGGGACAGAGGCAGCGGTAGGGTAGCCGATGGACAGGCACACACTGGCTACGTTCTGGATCCCCTGTAATGAACAGATGAATGTCTTTATTTCAGGTATTTCACCCATAGAAAACAATGGTACAAACATAGAAACACAAACTATACATACAGCATATTATATACATTTTTAAAAAAGTAATTTCTGTCATGTCAACATCAATGCCATACATCAGTTTCTTTAGAACAAAGTTTTGTTGCAAAACTAAGGACTTAAGTTGACGTTTCTGTGACCATCTGCCACCTACTTCAGGGCAATACAGACTAGTTCTGCTATTTATATTTTATTCACATAGTTAATGAGCATTAGGCCACACCAAGTTAATTTGTTGGTTCTCGGATTTTTTTCATAAAAATTATTAAGCGACGGCGAAAAAAAATAAAAACAGGTCCAGGCATCCTATCATAGCCTCAAATGCTATGATAGGAGCCATGAAGTCAAAACAAAAGGCTGGGTTGAAATTTACAATAAATTTTGAACTTTTAACCAAACCACTGCAATGATAGATGGAAAAACTGTAACAACTAGGAAGAAAAGGACTTTCCTCAACTGTTGAGGGCAAAATATGAGCATTTTTGAGTTGATTCAGAACCAGACATTTTTTTTGCAAATCAGAAAAAAATGAAGAGGCCAATCTGAGACCCAACAAATTAAATTGGTGCATGTGGCCTAAGTTGACATTTCTGTGACCATCTGTCACCTTCAGGGCAATACTGACTAGTTCTGCTTTTTAAAATTTTATTCACATAGTTTATGAGCATTAAACAGCAAGCACAAATGTGCTTATAGTTCTACTTTACACTGCAGATGGGTGTCGCTGTTGCAGTGTTACTGTGTTCAGTTTCTTCATACTGTTCATACAAATGATGGTTTTTGGGAGGGCCTCAGTAATATCATATATACCAGACTTGAGCCATAGATTGTTCATAGATAACGACTATAAAAAATTACTAGTGTTCAATTTATCACAATTAATGATAAACAACAATAGTTGTGATGTCACCAGTCTACATCTTCTGTAGTTTATATCAGCACCTTTTTCAATATGAAGAAAAAGAAAGTTTCACATTTTTTAAACCTATCAAAGCTAATCATTTTTTTAACGGTGTCGCTCAATGCAAGGCCAATTATTTTTGGCCACTTCTAGGCATAGAGCTAGAGGTACTTAAGTGAATATAATGTAGTTATGTCAGGAGATGGCGGTGGACCTTTGTTTTGAAGCTTTGTGGATTGTAATCGGACGGAAAGCAGCTGTTTGGAAGAGAGTTCCATAATTTTGCAGTCCGGGGAAAGAAGCTGTTGTTGTACAATGACTTTGAGACAGGTATGTTGACGGTGTATTGATGAGAACTGGAAGAGAACCTAGTGGCACGCTGAAAGGTTCTGAGCGGCGGAACAAGAAGTGCAAGTTCTCCTGAACATCGACCGTGTTCAGAAGACATGCAAACTTAAGAGCGCCCAACTTACCTGCATGAACCTGGCTAGGATGTCTTCATCAGTGATGTCCAGGATAGATGGATGGAAGACTGAGCCACTGTCATACACTGGAAAAAAAAACGTGTGTGCCTACATGTTATCATTGTTCTTACATGCTAACTAAAAAAAAAACAAGATAGTATTAATTTGCATGGACTGACCGCAAGCTAGGAGCTATAAGAGCTAGGCGACTACGGTTTGCTGGTCACTCACTGAGGAACTGCAGGGAAATAGCCTCGAACCTTGTCCTGTGGTCCCCAGCACATGGGAGAGGGAGGCTGGGAAGACCACCCCTCTCTTACCCAGACGTGCTGCGAAGGGACGTTGGCCTTCGGGCCGAAGACATGGGGAAGGCGATGCAGGACAGAGACTACTGGGCAGCCATGGTGGTTCGGGTGGTAGAGGAGGACTGGCACCTGACTTAAGTCAAGTAAGTCAAGACCGCAAGCAAAGAGTCTTGTACAAAGGAACCCACTCAGATTGGTCTGTTACCTCCTGTGGACTTCCCCAGGGCACTGTCCTCGGGCCCTTAATATTCCTAGCACTCATCAACAACGCAAGTGAAGACACCACAGGGTTCTCCCCAGACGATGGAACAAGGGCGCTGCGCCCTGATACTCCTAGCTCAGCGCCCTCATACTCATTTTCAAATCTAGGGTGTTGCATCCCGATTTTTCTACAAAATTTCGCTAAAATTCTATAAAATTTCCTGATTTCGGGGCTTAGTGGCGTCTATTTTACCGCCGGCATTGTCTCTGAAAACTTGTGAATGGGGCGATAATCGAGTAAACAATGAGTATTTCGCACGACGCTACTGAGAGAATCGCTGTCATTGGTGGAACATCGGGCGCCCCGCTAGCGTTTTGAAGTCGTGTAAAGAAAGCTAATTGTCTGATTTCTTTGTAAACCAAAGCCCTCGACCCTGATAATAAGTTTAAAAATAAAAGCCGATACGTTTACGAACTTATAAACCGTAGAAAATTCCCTACCGTACCGCGACATTATGAACATGTGGCGGCCGCGAAATTCGTTGACGCGACAGAAAATGTCTGGTTCATGATAGCGGTATTTCCCATTTATTTTATTTACGATATATTGTATACGATTTATTTTTCCCCTGCTGTCGGTTTTTAAGTCCCGAAACGTTAAAAAAAAAGCTGAATTTTGCCCACAAACCCGGACGGGGGACGGCCTGTACCTATCGGCGTAGCACATGGCGGCCGCACCGCAAGGCTTCTGCCAAAAATCGGCAACGCGACAAAAAAATGCATGGTCCATTTTAGCGATATTTACCATAAAAATAACGTATGTGGTTTATTTCTCCCATGGTATGAGTTTTAAGGTCTCAAAACCTCTAAAAAAGCAGAAATTTGCCGACGAAAACGGACGGGCAAGGCATGGGGAGGGCACTGTTGACGCCTGCATGACCCCCAAAAGGTCGAAGGTCATAGGGCACGTCCATTGCGCAATCACCTTAATTCGCCGATTTAGCTAATTTTAGGGCGTTTGAAAATTGATACAATCACATTATCGACTTGTAGACAAGCAAAGGGATAGAAACCAATAAAATGTTGTGCAGATTAATATTTTTTTCTTCAGATTTCTTTTTTTTTCTTCTTTTTTTTTTAAATTCAAAAGTATTTTCTTGAATGTGTAACTTTGTTAGTCCTAAACATGGGACCGATTATTTAATGTTAGAGAAGTGAAATTTTGTTTTGATGGTACTCTTGATGGTACTTTGATAATTATAAGGGACTTGTTTACAAGTTGGTGATAACATAAGGATTAGCATTAGGATAAGGTTTTGTCCCAGCTTCTCTACATTTTCCCATAATTGCTTGCCTCAAGTTCCAAGTGGAAAATGTATGACTTAATGTCATATTCTGTTTCAATTGTCGAACTTGAAGGCACCGTTGGCCCCCGGTTAGGGGTCAGAGCGTGGAACCTATGCCCAATTTTTTCCTGTATGTTAACATTTTTTTCTGGCAGTTCAAAACCTGAAGTTGCAGGAAATGGCTTCCATTTGTATTTAGATAAAGAAAAATGCTTCAGCTTCCCCCCTCTGGAGGGGGGGCCATGCCTCTCAAATCCTGGGGAGAACCCTGCTATAGTGAAGACTGTTCTAGTAGTAGTGTATACAAGTGCTGCACTGCTTGGTGCAGAACTACAAATAAAGGAGATGTATCCTCTTGTGACTTCTATAAGATGCTGTTACCTGTCTTGTTATAATGTTACACATTTACCGGCAAATAAATGCATAATGACAACCACATACAAATTGAGTTTCCAATTATAGTAATAAGCTAGAAGAGTCCCAACACCTTGATCTTGAAGTTAAATCATGGTTAAATGTGCCATTTCTTTTCTTTCAACTTGGTGTTGGAGTCTCTTAAGCTATTATGTGTAAGTTGTATATTTAGGAAAGACAGAAGGCTGAAATTGCAGGAAATGGCCTCCATTTCTATTTATAACAGTCAAAATGCTAAAGCTTCCTCCTCCGGAGGGGGGGGGGCACCCCCCCTACGGACCACCCCCCCAAGGACGCGCGTTGCGCGTCGCTTAGTGTGTGCTCGGTAAGTTTCCTCCCTCATACTAAAATTTTCTGGGGAGAACCCTGCACCATTGCAAGAAAATGGAAATCCGTAGATGACCTTAATCTAGCAGAAAGTTGGAAAATCACCACGACATCCCATCTCCAAACTGATCTCGACAGTCTCGATTCTTGGACAAAAAGACAGAAAATGAAACTGAACCCTAAGAAATGTAAAGTAATGCACGTTTTCTTTACAAAAGTCACAACGATACCACCACCACTATCCATCGCCGGCAAAACACTGAACAAAGTAAAAGTTGTTAAGTTGCTGTACTCGGCCTATTCGTGCAAGCGGACCTTGACTGGGAAACACATGCTAACCACGTAGTGAAGTCCGGTAACAGAAAACTGTTCCTGCTCCGACAGCTACGACCAGGGTTGGACAAGTCCAATTGCCCCCTTGCCCAGGGCAAGTAAAAGCACTGTTCGGGCAAGTGAATCCCCCTGAATGGCAAGTAGATTTTTTGGATGTGGCATTATGTCTTTCATTAAGTCTCAAACCTCTTTTTTTGGTAAATACTGGTCAAGCATAGAACAATATAAAGGGCTTTTTTTACTGAAAAAATTTCCTTGTGGTAAAAATGCATAGAAATGTGTCATTGGTATTTTGCATTGGGCAAGTTAAAGTTGGTTCGGGCAAGTAGAAATTACCACATGCTTTCCCAATAGGGCAAGTGGATTTTTGAAAACTTGTCCAACCCTGACGACGCCTCGGCCTCTCTCCAGACGATTTACTCACTTGTTATAAGACCTTGGTCAGACCAGCTTGTGAGTATGCTGCTCCAGCATGGCAACCGGGACTCACAAAGAAACAACGAACAAGGATCGAGACCATCCAGAAAAGGGCTTGTCGGACAATATCGGGCCCCGCCTACACTTCCTACCCAGAGGCATGCAAACTACTCGACCTGCCGACCCTAGAGAACAGCCGCCGCCAGCTGTGCTACAACTTCGCTACACGACTGCTGCATTCAGAGACTTTTAGAGACTGGTTACCCCCATACCGCAGCGAGATCAGTGCCAGAACAACAAGATCATCACATCTACTTGACTCTGTTAAAGCACGTACGATCAGATACCAAAAGAGTCCTATCCCCTATATGACAACCCTACTGAACGAGCAGAATACATAAGTCAACACTGTGTACTTTATAATATGACCCCCTTGTTTATAATTACTTAGTATACATCCTATATGAATAATAGAAATATTTTTAAAGATTTTAATAATTTGATATAGCACACAAATGTCCATCTTTTAACCAACGCATTGTACCAATTTTAATATACATTGTACACTTCGACTGTACATAAAGTGTAGTTGTAATCTTTAATTTTTAACCTTTAGTAACAATTGTTATAAGTCTATGATAATGTATGTAATATACTATGTACTGTCACCATAATTCAGTCTTAGGACTGCAAGTGTGACATGTGTGGTGGAAATTTCAAATAAACCATTCTTATCTATATAGTGCCGTTTATATGTACAATTTGGGGGTACTTTTTGTGCAACGCATCACACCGCAGGGCAAAACGCAACGACTGCGGAAGTAACTATGCCACCGCAGGGCAAAAAAAATTCAAGGGTCTATGACCTGATTAAGACTTCAAATTATTTCAAAATATTGTGCAAAAATTGCCAGCAGGACAAGGGTTAAAGTGTATCAAGAATGTGAACAGCTTACCATGCTGGATCCCCAACCCATATGTGAAGGGGAAAATCTTCAACATGTTCAACAAGGTCGCCTCGGAAGCTCCCACCTTCTCATCCTTCTTAATCAGGTACACCTTGTTCTGTAAAAAACAGTAAAACAAAACTTAGGAGTTAGGTCATCGTCACACATACTGTACCATGACAAGCCGCCAGGTGGCCCAAAATCTAATCACTTTGAGGACTCATCAAGACCTACACACCCTACCAAATATTTAGACAATCCATCAAGGCCTTCTCAAGTTATCGTGTTTACAAACACACACACACACACGAACGCCCCTGAAAACATAACCTTCTTGGCGAAGGTAATAAAAACAGGTCTAGGCATCCTATTATAGCCCCAAATGCAACAATAGGAGCCATGAAGTCAACACAAAAGGCTGGGTTAATATTCAAACAATGAATTTTGAACCAAACCACTGTATTGATAGATGGAAAAACTGTAACAACTAGGAAGAAAATGACTTTTCCTCAATGGCTGGGGCAAAATATAAGCATTTTTTAGCTTATTCAGAATTTTTTTTTTTTTGCAAATCAGAACCAAGAACCAACCAATTAAATTGGTGTGGCCTTACCAGGATTTCAATGGTGCCCCTTGAGATCTTGGTGGGGATTGAGAGAGCCTGGAAGAAGGATGTCTTCTCAGGACCCAGGCCGGTGTTCTGGGGGTCCAGATATACATCCACTGGTGCAATGGCACCGGCTTTAGCAGGAGCTTCCACCTAGCAACAAGAAAAGAGGGGAGAATTAGTATGGCACAATACTATAGAGATATAACGTTATGCAGTGAAATACAGATTGTTATACTTATTGTTTTGTTGTTCTCACATTGTATATTCATATTCATCTCACTTCACAGGGCTCGAAATTCATTTTGGGTAACAGGTGCACTGGTATAAAATTGGGTGCACAAAAAATGTTTGGGTGCACCATATATGTTTCATTTCTAAATAAATACTTAAGTACTATAACAATGATTTTATTACTATTATGACCCTTACATTAAGAATATGCTGTATACTACTAATACTATACGTTTAACATCTTTACATGCGTAAACCTACGAAAATATTTGGGTGCACTGGTGCACCTACAGAAAATAACTGGGTTCACAGCTCCAATTTTGGGTGCACTAGGGTGTACATGCACCCAGTATTTTGAGCCCTGTTTTTACATTCTGGCTGGTGTAGGCAAAATTTGTCCGGTGCAAGTATGCCAAAAAAATTATATTTTTTGAGCCCTGCATGTGATGCTGTAACAAAAGGGGATCAGACCTTGTTCTCCAGAATCTTGTCACGGACGTCCTTCAGGTCTCCCTTGGTGAAGACAAAGCCAACATTCCCAGAGATGTGGGGGAGAAGCCTATAGAAATAGAACACAAAACAAACTTCGTTACACTTCCAAATTGAAAGTTACATTTACCAAATAAAACTGACTTGCTTCTGGATCAGGGCCAAGAGCTGTCCTTCATTCACTTGTGAGGAAGGGGTCAATATTTCACCTGACTTACTGAAAATCCACCGAAAAACAGGCGAAGCTGTCAACCCAAAAACAGGCTAAAGTCAGCAAGTTTTTGCTTGGGTTGGTTGTAAAACACTACATTGTAACAGTAGGGGGTTTATAGGCGCTACCAACTGACCCGGCCGATGGGCCTAGACCTTTTAGCCAAATCGGTAGGAGTGTCGCTGGTTTGAAGCTGGTGCTCGGGTTTGGAAATGGGTTCGAACCCCAGCCCCGGACCAGGAGTGTCTACCTGTTTCTACTCTCCTAATTCTTACATTTTTTTCATAAGATTATCTCTATACTGGACATTACCACTTACTTCTCTAGGGAGGGGTTACTCTCCATGTGTCCACGGATAGCCTTCCTCATCATGGTGTTCTTTCCCATGAGAATCTCTGTAAACAAACAAGATTCATTGAAGATTAGCTTTGATCAGCTCAATCTAACATATTGACTACAGGGAAGACTTTCTCATAATCTAATTTTCTTTGCCCGTATTCTGGAAAAGTCCCCCTCAACATCCACTGTCAAATGCCATATGGGACCCAGTTGTTTGGCACATTCAAAACACTGAAAGAAACACAAGAAATAGTTGAAACAATTGAATAGATATTAGAAACTGCCAGACGTTTTAATTACATTATAGCATCCACTACTTTTTGACAGTTGCGTATCTCACTACTATCCTAGCTTTTTTCACAGCGTAGGGGTCAGGTACAGAAGAGCAACTTACTACAGAAAGCTGTGCATTGAGTGACAAAAACATGACCACAGCAGGGGTCTGGTATTCTTCCCGAAAAATTTTGTAACTCATAACCCCCAGAGACACGATTATTTCTGGCTTATTGGGGGACAGATTTTGTTTTCCCATTGTTATGACTTCATTATGAAGATATATTTTCATTTTTTGAAAGATTAATGATGGTTCTGCCCCCCCCCCCAAAAAAACACCCCTACACTGGTAGAAAGATAGTATACGGAGCTAAATCACAGCATAGGGGGTTCAAATCACAGCATAGGGGGCCCCAACATTCAAATAGAATAGTGAGAACTATGAGTGTGGTAAATAGACTTACCACCAGTCCCTCGTAGGGATATGCGGATGCGCTGCATCTGGTTGGAGCCCACATTGTCAGCACCGACGATGAAACACTTTGGGTATTCATCCAACAGTCGCTACAGAATCAACAAAATATATGTTATTATAACCAAACAGTAAGAACAATACTCGGCAGTTGATATAGGTGTATGTTGATTTTGTAGCACCAACGACGGCGCACATGATCAGTAAAATATAACCAAACGTTAGCAACATCACTGCATATATGTTTTCAAATAGTTTCCATGTAACGTACATGGTGTGAACAAAAACAAGTGATTCTTCTTCCTTCTTTTTCTTTCATTTTGAGGCAGCCGCGTTCAACTACCTGAAGATTCTGCTGCCTATTTGTGGTTAATATGAGATGGTGTTCGCCAGGCCTCCATCTAGGAAAGTCATGTAAAGTGCCTTTCCCAAGAGCACAAGATCAGTGACATGGCAGGATTCAAACCCTGGACCTTTTGGTTCTGAGCCGAATGCTCTGCCGTTACGCCACACGACTTGATTGCTCATACAGCCTAAGTAATTTTCTTTGCTTACCACAATCTTCAAGAAGTAGTTAGACTTCCAGGTAGCCTTGTCTTCCCTGACCATCTTGAAGTAGTACAAGGATTGCCACAAGTGGGTTTAAAGACAAGATCTGAAAAATAAAATCACGGAACTTTGTTCAGAAACAGCTCAAAATCACGGGGTACAACCTACGTCACGGGATGGCCAGACACATTCGGTGGTGGGAAGGATCTATCAGCCGCGACGCGCAGACCCTTTCGACGCGGGGCAGAGAAATCAGCCGCCCGCGCGGACCAATCAGCCGCATCGCGCAGACCAATTCGACGTCACGCGGACCTATCAGCCGCGCGCGCGGATATTTCAGCCGTGGGACGGCGCTATCAGGTGTCTCCCAGCTGCTTCCAGTGACCGTTGAAACACCCACAGCAAGGTAGGTCCTCCACAATTTCCTCTTCTGGCGTTATATAGAGACAGCGACTGCTTTTCTAACTAGGCCTATCAGGTGGCGGACTATCCAAGGGTCATCCGAAGCCAGAAATAATCGGCAGGTCTTAAAATTAAATCGAGATATAGGGAGCACAGTCCAACATCGGCGACACATCACGTCCATATTATCAAGGTAAACAAACGCCAAACACAGCATTTTGGGGCCATTAGAAGTAAATAAATCCGCAGATACGACTTGTTGGCTGTAATTGGGTGTCCAGAACAGCATAACTGTACTCTGAAACCGATGTAATGGGCCTGCAGTGTGAAAACGTGAGGTGGAAGTGATACCGCTATAACGCCCCCCTCCCCATTTTAGTCATTAGGCCTTTACATATATGTTAGTACCATACTAAGCTCCAACAGGCAATAGTGTCTTTGTCGTATCGGTTGATCTTGGCAATATGCAGTGAATACCTTCTGTCATTGTATTTGTAGGCATTACCTGTATGATTCAACGAACATGTCATATATTTCTTGTTTTTTAACTGGATCTTTGCAAGGTTGTATTATTCATTATACACATAGGAAATACACAACTATGCGGCCAGTTTAATGTGTCACTGCAAATGATACACCCTGACGGGTTCATATCAATTACAGAGATGCCTCGTCGACTAAGGCTAACACTCTACCCACGTAAGAGGTGTCGGTGCAAAGGCACATTGAAGGCAGACAAAGAATCAGATATTGGAGATGGATGGGAGACAGAGGAAGAAGATGTCAGCACTGCAGTCCCTGCAAGTCCCTTTTCCCCAGACAGTAAGAGATCACGTCTTTCCCCATGGTCGACTCCACACAGGAAAAGACAACGAGGGACCAAGCACACATCTAGCCCTGTGTCGCCTTACCTACAGAGCAGGGCAAGGAAAAAGATCCGGTTTGGTACTCCAGTGACGTCTCGTGTCATGGGCAGAACACTGTCAGCATGGAAACTCAAGGAACCTTCAGGAACAAAAGAGGAGCAAAGTCAAACATCTGCTGCAGATGTTCTGGACCTTGATGAAGACTCTGCATCCTTGGTTCACAACGCTATCCAGGAGATGATAGAGTTACTCCCAAAGGTCATGGTAGAGCTAAAATGCACAGATCCCAGTATTCAAGTAACTATATTTGCAGCAAAAATCTACATTCATGGAGGTGCTTATTGAAGAGAGTACTAGTACTAGTATTTGTCAATTTCAGTACTATGCAGTGCACCTGAAATCACTCATATCAGATGAATACTATACTTTTTCAGGTCATATTTACAGATTTAATGAATGGACCATCTCAGCCTTACATCATTGTACTATATTGACTTTATAGTTATACTTTACATTGTACAAATATTGTATGTTGTAAAGTTTTGAAAGCAAAAAAAATGGCACACAGATCATAAGCATATATATTACTAAATTTATTCTGATTGTTAACGAAAATACATGTACCATATATTTTTGCTGAATTGTCTACCAATTGAATACCATGTTCTTTCTATTGTTATACATCACTTGACAAAAATTATTGTAATCACTATGTACTGCAGTTTTATTCATAGCTATAGATAACCAGATGTATTCTACATCTGTACACATCTATTTTTCCTGAATTGTAACATCATGTTTTTGATATTGTACATCACCTGAGAAACAATGATACTGCAATCAAAAGACACTTAATTAAGTTTACTCTTCAAAAAGGGACAAAGTTGAATTCGGATTCTACAAATCCATAAGGTACAAACCAACCAACAGAAACAGAAATAAAACATGGTGTAAAAGGCACTTAGTTGTGCTCTTGAAAATCTTTACAAAGTTGAATACAGAGTCTAGGTAAGGTACAAACCAACCAACATAGTTGAAAAACAGAAATAAAGCATGGTCTAAAAGGCACTTAGTTTACTCTTTGAAAAGATGAACAAAGTTGGATACAGAGTCTACAGATCTCCATCTCCAACACTGGGCCTGCCAGGTGGCTCTCCATCTCCAACACGGGGCCTGCCAGGTGGCTCTCCATCTCCAACACTGGGCCTGCCAGGTGGCTCTCCATCTCCAACACTGGGCCTGCTACGTTATTAACCTGTTCTATTCATCAAACTTGTACTACATGGCTGAAATAGAGATTTAAAAGGAAAATTAATAAACTTGTCAACATAAACATACATGTAATTGATAACTTTAAATGAATACAACATATCTATGATGCATAAAAAAGAACCAGTGTTACCAAGATAAAGTTACTGCGTCTTAGAACTAACATCGTACTACACGTGGTCCGTACTAAAAATGGGGGAGGGGGCGTTATAGCGGTATCACTTCCACCTCACGTTTCCACACTGCAGGCTCATTACATCGGTTCCAGAGTACAGTTATGCTGTTCTGGACACCCAATTACAGCCAACAAGTCGTATCTGTGGATTTATTTACTTCTAATGGCCCCAAAATGCTGTGTTTGGCGTTTGTTTACCTTGATAATATGGACGTGATGTGTCGCCGATGTTGGACTGTGCTCCCTATATCTCGATTTAATTTTAAGACCTGCCGATTATTTCTGGCTTCGGATGACCCTTGGATAGTCCGCCACCTGATAGGCCTAGTTAGAAAAGCAGTCGCTGTCTCTATATAACGCCAGAAGAGGAAATTGTGGAGGACCTACCTTGCTGTGGGTGTTTCAACGGTCACTGGAAGCAGCTGGGAGACACCTGATAGCGCCGTCCCACGGCTGAAATATCCGCGCGCGCGGCTGATAGGTCCGCGTGACGTCGAATTGGTCTGCGCGATGCGGCTGATTGGTCTGCGCGGGCGGCTGATTTCTCCGCCCCGCGTCGAAAGGGTCTGCGCGTCGCGGCTGATAGATCCTTCCCACCACCGAATGTGTCTGGCCATCCCGTGACGTAGGTTGTACCCCGTGAAAATGCAACAATCACACTCACAGGCTGCTAAGGCAAATACTTCCGGTCCAGAGGCGTTGCCAAAAAATTGTAGTTCGTTACCTACCAGCATCTAGCGCCAAACTTTTCTCACAAAAGGTAGCTACTGCAGTACAAGGTATGGATCTGATCAAAACGAAACATTTCTGTGTTTTTCTAGTGGGTATACCTCGGTATAAACCAACAGTCTCACGACATTTTATAGTACACAAACTTGCCATGCTTACATGACTTGGGAGCCGCCATCATAAAATTTAGCGCTGCGCAACGTGAACTATCTCTACGACATCGGCCGAATCTTTCACTATAGACAACCGCTAAACACTTTTTATTACGGCAAAACTATCAAAGAATCTAAATATGTAAACTTGGTTCAGAAAAATACTGTAGTTATGCTCAAATACGCCTGTTTTTCTCGTTGATGGTGAGGACAAAATCATATCTACCTTCTTTGCAAGGCAACCTTTCGCCGAGAGGAAGTCACGTGGGTCCCAGCATTCCGTTCTCGGTAGTACACGTTTGGCCGCAAGGTGGCGCTTCGGTCATCTCCAAGCAGATGTTGAGAGGGAGTGACTACCAGAAATGTTCAGCAGTCAGCTTTGACTCCACAACGTTATTCTGCTTTTATTTTTTTAAGTCAGTGGTGATCTTTTGGTTCAACATAAAGCTAAGAATACGACCAACCAGGTTAGTTACGATAGCTTTAGGAAATGCGATGGTTAAAGAAAATTAACTTTTGTTGCTATACCGCTCTAGTGGCGTTGCCAAAAATTGTCACATGATCAGCGTCATTACCAGGTTTGTTTTGAATGCAGGGCGCAATGCCGGAGTGAGGAAGAAGGCATCTGACCTGCATCTTTAACATCCATCCCTTTCGAGGTGAGTTACTTACCAGGAGTCAAAATCAAGATTCTTAAGCATCAACTACGTCTGAATATTTCTGATGAATTTTGTAGATTTCGGGAGTTACGCGTATGATAATCTGGGTAAACATCAAGGGGGAGGGGGGATGTCGGCCTCCGCCGGCTGAACTCTCGAAGTGGCGTCATCAAAATAAACGCACAAAATCGTTTTTACGAGCGCCGATCTCCAACAAGGCTTCAACGATCAGACTTTAGAACTCTTTGGGCCAGTATATGTGATTTAAATACTTCTAGCACACAAGATACAGTGGTAAATTCATGCACTTCGCCGAAGAAAAATATATCAGCCATGATAGTTGTTGTTTTGTGTGGATTTTTGTTTTGGCGCGTAGACTCCACACTGCACCGATCTTTCTACCATAAACATTACCACAGATAAAACCGATTCAGGTAAAACTTCAAGGTCCTATATAATTTGTTTTAATGAAAACTGATCGCGTACGAGCTATTTTCTAACAGTCACCCAAGCAGTGAAGGTTTGTTTTTGAAAGAGAGTGGGGAGGGGGGCGGAACGGGACTGACTTAGACGAACCACTAAAATTACAATTTTATGCTCAACGAAAACAGAATCAATTCTATTCTACGATGTTTCCTCCACACGTATGTTATGTTTCACCCTGTATTGCACTGTTCAAGGGCTCAGGTACAGTAAAATCCTGGTTGTTTGCAAAAAAATTGAATCGGCAGAAAAATCAAGATGGCCGCCATGCAAATGACACTGTTTTCTTTATGACAATGTTACATGTGTCTCCAAATTTAGTGTTGCTATTAAACCATGTATCATTAGCTCCATATGTTCATACATCTACAACTGCCTCAAGAAGCTAGAAGAAGTTGAACATGTAAATAGTAGATCACATTAGTATGTATGGTTTAATGTTTTTGCTGTATAATTTTCTTTTCCCTGTTAATTCATGGGGGCCCACATGCCCTTTTCCGTAGAGCGCAATCGGTCATTTTAATCCTATGTAGAGCGTAGACGGGCCGTTCTAATTCAACGTAGAGCGTAATCGGCGCATTTTGCATAGAGTGCATTCCCCGTTTTAATTCAACGTAATATGTTGTAGCCACTTGGAATTTAACGTAAAGCGTAATCGAGAGGATTCCTGAATTCAGCGTAATACGTAGCCAGCTCTCAAAATTTAGTGTAGAGCGTTGTCGGGACCCCCCCATGCAGGCCCTCATTCATGACCTGTACTTAGCTTGTAAGAGCATAAACGCACAATATAGGTCTTTCTTTCATTCACTCATTAATTTTGCCCCCAGCGCTGGTGTCCAACCAGTAACCATGAAACGACACCTGGAGGAACAAGGGGAGCCGGTATTTCCCGGGCGGCGTATGGAACAGGGCACGGCGGGGTACCAGCACCCGCGAATCCTGGCCCCGGCCCCTGCCCACGCGTCTGTGTACGACCTGCCTACCGCTGGAGGGGAGAACATGCCGGGCAGTCTACAGTATCCTGCTGTACAGGGATATCAGTGAGTCGGTTTGTTGTTGTTGTTGTTGTCCTTGCATTACGTCTATTTTTCTGCTAGATGTTGTCTCTTGTCTTGGTGCCTCTCTCCAGGTCTCCAGACTAACTGTTTAACAAAACGTCTTTGGTTAACTTGAAATTGCTGATGTCACAAATTAAATTTCACCGGTGCTACGCTTAGATTTCCCGCGCTGATTTTGACCGAGGTGTTCGAAATAGAACAGGGGGTTTCGAAGTGTTCGATCCGGAAAGGTCCATTGGGCGCACCAGCAAAAATCTAGGGGCACCACCAAAAAAATATTAATATTGTCCTATTCACGTAACTATACAAGCATTTTCTACCTGGAGCTTGAAGCAAGTAAACCTAAAATTACTGTCATTAATATATCAAAATCTAAGTCTAAATCAATGAATATCTACTCTGGACAATTCCTTGCTCTGTGCATCTCAAGATTTTTCGCTGGAACTTTGTTTGGGGATGGTCTTTCATTTGTGAACCCTCAGTCTGAGGTGATGAACTGTAAATGCTTTTATTTTTGCAGTAGGGGGAAGGAGGGTTTAGAGTTTCAAGTTCCCTCATACAGTAGAATTACTAAACGCATGTTTACACTTTGATAATTATTAGAGTTACGACATGAAAGCCACTGTTAACATTTCAAGATTTACAGTAGCTCTAAGTCTAACCTCAAAATTTTTATCGTTTCCTTTCTGTATCTATTTCCAAGCATCGTTTTCAACAAATAGCCACCAAATTTTGACATATTTCTTGCTGCTATATGTTTCTGGAACCCATAGTACGTTTTTGTCCCCAGGGTTGCATCAGTGAGCCAGTCCGGAGCTGCAACTCACCATTCTCACCCAGCGGTGGTCCACGCCACGCCTCACCAGGCACAACAACAGGCACATCAGCAACAGGGCCTACACCAGGCACATGCACACACACAGGTAAGGATGGTTACACTAGGCACATGCACACACACAGGTAAGGAACCATAACCAAACCTGGTAAACAAAAGAAGGGCTGATGTTCTGATGTTGATTATTGTTCTATTGTCCCCAAAATGTCCCAAAGTGTCATTTGAGTTGTCCAGGCCTAAATTTTAGTGGTCAGTGGCCATCGGGACACCTTTAATTTCGAGCCTTGCTATGTCTGATTCTCCTTTATGTATTTTCCAGGCACATGTAGCCCTAGTGGGTCAGCAACAACAGCAACAGCAGCAGCAACACCAGCAGCAGCAGCAGCAGTTCCAGCGGCTGAAGGTAGAGGACGCGCTGTCCTACCTGGACCAGGTCAAACTGCAGTTCGGCAACCAGCCGCAAGTCTACAACGACTTCCTGGACATCATGAAGGAGTTCAAGTCACAGAGGTAAGGAATGGACTTGTTTGTTTCGCATAACCGGTAAACCTCCTTTTTAGGTGTAACGCACCACTTTGTGGATTCTGTTCCTAGTTTTCTGTCCTAGGTTTCTGTAACTAGTTTTCTGTTTACTTCGTGCTTTTAAATAATTGACCGCCATTATGTTATAATTTATGTATATATATATATATACACAACTTTCGCACATTTTGGAATGCATTGTAGATACATTTCCCTGTAATCCAATCACTCATGTGTAGGTATGTAAATATTGTACATTTGGGAATGCATCTGTAGCAGCGGCACCTGTGCTGCAATGCAATGTGAACCAGTCAGAATTGCCCTGAGGAAGGTGACAGACGGTCACTGAAACGTTGGCTGAATAAAAGACTTGGTTGTGCAAAAAAGAGTCACTTAATTTTTGCTTGTTTGCCTGCAATGCGCCCCCCTCCCCCTCCTACTCTATGTGCAAACTTGCACATTCAAAATACTGTTTTAAGTGCAAATCTTGAAAATCATGTGCATTTTGCACATTGCACATGGGGGTTTCTAGCCCTGACCATCTTCCCATTTTCTTTCAGTATTGACACCCCCGGTGTGATCAACCGAGTGTCCAACCTGTTTAAGGGCCATCCTGACCTGATCGTGGGGTTCAACACCTTCCTGCCGCCGGGGTACAAGATCGAGGTTCAGACGTCAGACGGACAAGTGAGCGTGAGCAGCCCGGGGGGGAACACGACACTGACGCACGCCGGCATCCCGCGCCCGCAAACTCCCGTCATGACTCAGCAACAACCCGTGCAGCATTCGGTATGGCACTGTTTTGTCAAAAACAGGGTTTGAAACAACATTACTACTTAGTGCCCCCACTTCGAACATTCTCAGCAAGGATACGTCTTGCCTCTTCCACTGAAGCAAATCACCCTTTCTTCCTCTGTACACCACCTCTTAGGAGGAAGTTGCACGCTGAAACCTTCTTTCCTAGCATAACATCACTATGGAATAAGCTACCCTGTGATTGTTTCCCACATGGCTATAAACTCAATCTTTTCAAGTCTAAGGTCAACAAATATCTGTCCTGACTGCCTGTACAGTAACCCAAAGCATTTGAGTGGCTCTCATGAGCCTTGTTTTGTGGCGAACCATAAGTAAAGTTTTTAAAAAGTACTTTTAGAGCCAGGAGAACAAAAAATAAAGGCATAGAAGTAGAAATGTAATACAATCAGTTCACTTGAGCTCGCTGCAGACACTATGATTAAAAAGATGGATTCTGATATAGGTTACATTTGATAGGAAGGTTATACGCTAATATTATAACTTTTTTTTGTTGCAAAATCATGCCCGAAGGCTAATTGCTTTTACAATCAAGTATAATATGCTAATTGCTTTTACAATCAAGTATAATATTATATAATGTTCTATCTTGATGTCTAACCATCAGTGTAAGGCAGTTATGTTTTTGGTAGCATGGTTGTATTATGTAGTGGAACAGCATAACTCAAGAAGCTATGAATGGATTGCTATGAAATTTTGTACTTCGTTATTGTTCCAGCTCCCTGGAAGCTTTGCATGGTACTGTGTAGCACAACTTCCTTTTTTTCTGTGTCTCATGTTTTGACATGTCACAAATTTTCTTCTGTGTTTTTTTTAGCCAACTCAGCAGCAGCCCCCCAGCCAGAGCCAGGCATCGTTCCCCCCAGTACAGCAGACCAGTACAGGAGCAGCCATGGTGCCCACACCCCAGCTCAGCTCATCACCTAACACACAGGGCAGCCAACCTGTGGAGTTCAACCATGCTATCAACTATGTCAACAAAATCAAGGTAAACAACAACAAAGTCTGTACAGTCAAACCTACAAGTCACCATCTCTACTTAAGGACCACCTTGTCAGTCAAAACCTGTTGAAGTGACCACCTCTACATAAGGACCACCTGGAAAGTCAATACCTGTACAAGTGACCACCTCTAGTACATATGGACCACCTGGCCGATGTGACCACTTTTTGGTGGGATTCTGTAGTATCATTTTCCCCCATTATTATAAGACAATAAGACTCCTGTCTATAGTGACCGCCTGTCTACACAGACCAGATTTTGTTGGTTTTGACTGTTTGGAAAAGTTTACACTACTATTCCTACTCATTGAATGATTGCATCATACAAATTTCCAAGCAAATTTCTTGGATACATAAAATGTAACTTCAAGTCAGTATTGTATTTTGTTTTAATATCAATATAATTGATGTCTTCTTGATGACATTTTTGTTACCTCAGAACCGGTTCCAGGGCCAGCCTGACATCTACAAGGCCTTCCTGGAGATACTCCACACTTACCAGAAGGAGCAGAGAAACATCAAAGAGGTGAGTTTTTTGGGGGTCTAGGGTCAGGGCTCGAAATACTGGGTGCATGTGCACCTTAGTGCACCCAAAATTGGAGCTGTGCATCCAATTTTTTTCTGTGGTTGCACCAGTGCACCCAAATATTTTTGTAGGTATTTTTGTACATATCAAGTGTGTAACAGTATGCAGGATATTCTTGGCATACGAGTGTCAGAAAAATAATGAAATCTTTCTTGTAAGTTAGCCCCCATTTCAGATTCAAGCTCAGAAGAGGAGCAGTAAGATCTGTAATTAGTTTTTGTTTCATATGGTGCACCCAAAAATTTTTTTGTGCACCTAATTTTTTTAGGTTGAGTGCACCAGTGCACCTATTCCCAAAAATGAATTTCGAGCCCTGAGGGTGGAGAATTTTTTTTTTATATAACACCGAACGACTTGTTATACTCAATCTTTTCACATTTAATTACAGGAGTTGTTTAAAGCTTTCTAGTGACGATGCCCCAACTGTGCTTGGTGGCAACGAGTTCCAGTCTACGATAGTTCTGGGGAAATACAAGTTTTTGAACACCTCAATTCTTGGTTGATAACGCTGATATTTGACTACTTTACCTTGATGATTTTCTATTGTTGATTTATCTTGATAATTTTTTCCAGGGCTATGCCACTGCCCCTACCCTAACTGAGGCTGAAGTATACGCTCAGGTAGCTAAACTGTTCCAGAACCAGGAAGACCTGCTGGCTGAATTTGGCCAGTTCCTTCCTGATGCCAATGCGGCAGCAGCTCAGTTTGTAAGTGCTGCTCAGTTTGTAAGTGGACATTTTCTACCATGTTCTTACCTAGATTCGAATGTAGAAAGTAGTGTAGTATGATTTTGCATTTGAGCACCAGTTTTTTCGGGATGTATATTGTCACAGTATGCCTTGAGGAATAAATAAATAAAGAGATACAAATATAGGTAAAATGTAGAATACGTGATTCTATAATGTTGTGATGAAGACAAATTATCATGATGAAACAGCAGCTATAAGTGGTAGTGTAGTAAGCCATAATAAAGAGATTTGCATACATAAAGTATATTAAAAACTGATACAATGAGATTGCGTTTCATGTCTTAGGCCATGTTGATTTGATTATATGGATGACATCCGTGCTTGCATGAATTTTCGTCTATTTCCAAAAAAAAAGTTTTCAACCATACTGTTTAAGTATATGTCGTATGTTGCAAAAAAGTATTGGAAAACGATACTAATATCATAGAATACCGAAATCAATTCAGGAAAGAAAGAAAATGTGAAGAAATTAAAATGAAGAGCCTATTATTATTTTCCATACCATATTATGTGTGTTTAGTCATTTATTCAACCTTTATGACCACATAGATTTCATAGTGAAGGAAACATTTTTTTTGCCAAACTTTTTTTTATTCGCACCCTTGCATCAGTTTTGGGGTTCCCGGAGGATGTCATCCATATAATCAAATCAACATGGCCTTTGCAAGTAAAGTAGTGGGTTTTTGTATGCTTGGCTGTCTTTGTGTTTGTTTCTGCAATGCAGTTTATATATGTTCTGCTAGAGGGAGCAGTACTATCTGCCAGTAGATGGGTTTAACTTGAAACTTCAAACTTTATTGTACAATCAACTTTGTGTAGTCATCAAGACTAAATTCGGCTGATTTTGCAGTACATTTATATGAGGAACAATTCATTTAAAAGATCATCAGCGTTAAAATGATAAAGCATTATACAAGTACATGTATATTAAAATCTGTCCACAGCAACAACAAAAATATCAACGTAAACACAGAGTTTTTTTGTGCTATCTGTGATCAGTGTTCTAACCAGGCCTTTTTACCAGACTGGGGGCCCCCTATACTATGATTTTGACCCCCTATACTATAATTTTGGCCCCTATGCTAAGTTTCAAGCAGCATAGGGGTGTTTTGGGAGGGAGAACCTTCATAAATTTTGCAAAAAAAATGAAACTATAGCTTTAGAATGAAGCTGCAGAAAAGGGAAAACCTTAACTTCACAAAATCTGTTCCACATGAAACAAGAAATAGTGTCTCAGGGGGTTATGAATATGAGTTTCAAAAGTTTTCGGCTCAATGCTTTGCGCAAGGAAAGTTGCTCTTCTATACCTGACACCTATGCTATGAAAAAATCCTGGCTAGAACACTGATGATTGCCTTGTTTTTTTGTTAAAGTTTGTTTATTTCACCACCAAAACATGAAGCCGTGTTTTGTTTTAAAGGCTGCGCAACAACGCGAGGTTCAACAGAGGGAGGCACAAGTCAGAAACGACCACGGTTCCACCGTCAAGAAACAGAGCAGCTTCAGTAAGGCCCAGAGGGGAAACCATGTGCGACGGCCTGGCGGGCCCATGGGCTCCGTACCACCCAAAAAGATGAAGACAGGACTGAAAGACATCTCCCTGGCTGAGGCAGGGAAACATGGAACACTCACAGAGTTTGCCTTCTTTGATAAGGTAAGGCCACACCATTTTAATTTGTTGGTTCTCGGATTCGTCTCTTCTTTTTTTCTGACTTGCAAAAATGAAAAGAAAAAGATTCTGGTTCTGAATCAACTAAAAAAATGCTCATATTCCCAACAGTTGAGGAAAGTCCTTTTCTTTCTAGTTGTTACAGTTTTTCCAACTATCAATGCAGTGGTTTGATTAAAAGTTTTAAATTCTTTGTTTAGATATTAACTCAGCCTTTTGTGTTGACTTTGTGGTTCCAATCATAGTATTTGGGGCTAGTATAATAGGATGCCTAGATCTGTTTTTATTTTAATTTTTTATGGCCCTATTGCTTCATATATTTTCTGAAAAAATTCGAGAACCAACAAATTAAATTAGTGTGGCCTAAGTGTGTCTTGCCAATAATCCATAATCTTGCCAAGAAGAGATACAAGGGGGGATAGAGAGTCACGTTTGGGACTGCATTTTCCTTGTTTTAATGCCACCGTAAGGAGTAACATTAGACTTGTCAATTTTTGGAAAGACATGATTTGTTGTAAAGTCGCAGCTACTAGTTCTTGAGAATGGATGTAAGAATTCTTGTATTATTTTGTAGGTGAGGAAGGCCCTCCACAGTCAGGATGTGTATGAGAACTTCCTTCGGTGTCTGGTCCTGTTCAACCAGGAAGTCATCTCCAGAGCAGAGCTGGTGCAGCTCGTAACACCTTTCCTCGGGTAGGTTACCTGCATCCTGCAGTTTTCGTCCTCTCCACCAGGGTGCGCTACTGTATGGTGTAATTCTTGCACAGACTCAATCCTGCCAAGCAGGCCTGCCAACCTACTTTTTGGGGTAGTTAGCACCAGCCAGCTTTTAGCCAATCAGATAGTCTCTTTGTGTAGCAAATTTAACAGCCAATCATGTTGCCCCATGCCGTCAAGCAGTGATTTGATTGGTTGGTTGCTTGGTTGGTTATAAAAACAACATTCTTCAATGTTTTGCTGAAGTAAAAAAAAATCATGTCACAAATGTTTTCATACCAGTATATAGACCTTGTTCTAAAATTTGTGTATCCATAATTCTATGATCATGGTATCATGTATTGCACACCCACTGTTTTTCCCAGATCTTTCTAAGAAGATGAATAAAAATTTCCTTCCAGAAAATTTCCGGAGCTCTTCAACTGGTTTAAGCAGTTCCTTGGCTACCAGGAGTCTGACCGTATTGAAGCCCTTCCTATGAAGAGTGAGAAGGGGTCAGAGGGCAAGCACATGGAGATAGGTGGGTGTTTCTAATTAAAGGCACTCACTGTAAGATTCAGATGTGTTAAGATCCAGGTAACCGTGTATTTATTGGTACCACCCCAAAATTAGGGGACCATGATACCAGTTGTTTTTGTGCTCGAAATATTAAATAATGTGATTAGGTGGGTGTTTCTATTTAAAGGTTCTCCCTGTAAGATTCAGGTGTGTTTAAATCTAGCTAACCATGTATTTATTGGTACCACCCAAAAATTAGGGGACCATGATACCAGTTGTTTTTGTGCTAGAAATATTAAATAATGTGATGAGGTGGCTGTTTCTATTTAAAGGCACTCACTCTAAGATTCAGATGTGTTAAGATTCAGCCAACCATGTATTTATTGGTACCACCCAAAATTAGGGGACCATGATACCAGTTGTTTTTGTGGTAGAAATATTAAATAATGTGATTATGTGGGTGTTTCTATTTAAAGGTACTCCCTGTAAGATTCAGGTGTGTTTAGATCCAGCTAACCATGTATTTATTGGTTCCACCAAAAATTAGGGGACCATGATACCAGTTGTTTTTGTGCTAGAAATATTAAATAATGTGATTAGGTCTGTGTTTCTATTTAAAGGTACTCACTGTAAGAATCAGATGTGTAAAGATCCAGCTAGCCATGTATTTATTGGTGCCACCCAAAAATTAGGAAGCATGATACCAGTTGTTTTTGTGCTAGAAATATTAAATAATGTGATTAGGTGGGTGTTTCTATTTAAAGGTACTCCCTGTAAGATTGCAAGATTCCGGTGTGTTAGGATCCAGCTAACCATGTATTTATTGGTACCACCCAAAAATTAGGGAACCATGATACCAGTTGTTTTTGTGCTAGAAATATTAAATAATGTGATAAAATGTGCCAATAAATGTCAATAACATGCTTGTAAAGATTTTGTTATCCAGAATATTTGCAGTAATGTTTTTAAAATTCTTTATTAAAACAAGCTGGCACCAAGTATGAATGGATAACAGTAGCTTTTGGAGCCTTGTGGGGAAATTCAAATCTTTGAATACCACCAATGATTTGATAAGATCTGATTGAGTAGTAAAGAAAAACATACTGTTCGCTGTCCAGCTCTTGTTATCACATGGCAATTAGGAAACTTACTAATTTGGTTATATTGCAGATTATTCCTCATGCAAGCGGCTTGGCTCGAGTTATCGTGCTTTGCCCAAATCCTTCACACAACCCAAATGCAGTGGCAGAACTGTGCTCTGCAAACAGGTACCGTATATTTGGAAATATTTCCAGTATTTTTAAGTCCATGGTTTTCATGTTTTGCTTCTTTACAGTGAACAGGTACAGACATAATCATATTGTTGCTGCTATTGTTGTCTCAACTGCAGTTACAACTGTACTGGAAACTCTTTGATTTTCACAGTGTTCCAGTAAATTGAGAGTAGTAGGGGCAGAGCTGTGTATATCAAGTGGGTGAGGCAGATTATAGACAGTTAAATGTTTATAATCTATCTCAACTGCAATCTCAAAGATACAGGAACATCTTTGATTTTCACAGTGTTCCAAAATTGATAGTAGTATAGGGCAGAGCTAGGTACATCAAGTGGGTGAGGCAGGCTTTACTTTAGACTGTTAAATGTTGATACAGGAACCTTTTCACATTGTCACAAAATTAAAAGTAGTATAGGGTGGAGCCGTGTATATCAGATTGGTGAGGTGGATTATACACAGTAAATAATCCTTTCATTTTCACATTGTCACAAAATTAAAAGTAGTATATGAGGTTGGTGAGGGGGATTATACACAGTTAATAATCACCTTTCATTTCAGGTGTTAAACGACACGTGGGTCTCCTTCCCCTCCTGGTCTGAAGACTCGACGTTCGTGACTTCCCGCAAAACCCAGTATGAGGAACACATCTATAGGTGTGAGGACGAGAGATATGAGGTAAATTGTGTTACTGTTTCGTGTGTTCAGATTTTTAAAAAATTGTGACTGTTAAGGCTGACTTCTTTCCGACCTCAGGCAATGTCTAGTATTGACTGATGTTAACAGGTGAAATATATAGCCCAGGCCAGATGTCAATGATGGTTAAGTAAGTTAGCTGGTGTGTAATCCGAAAGGCAGTTATACCGGCTATACAGATACAGATATTGTTCACACTGTTCATAAGACAGAGAAAGTAGTAAAGAAAGTACCTGTAGTCTATGTTAAATGAGGAGGACATGACTGATGATGAGCTGCCCCTAGCTGGATATCAATGATGGTGAAGTAAGTTATACTGGTCGCACTGTTTATAAATTAGAAGACTTAAAAATTGCAAAGGAAGTAGTAGATGAAGTACCAGTAGTCTATATGGAATGAGGAGGACATGACTGACATGACCTGCCCCCCTCCCCAGTTGGATGTTGTGTTGGAAACCAACCTGTCGACCATCCGAGTTCTGGAGGCTGTTCAGAAGAAGTTGTCCCGGATGTCGTCAGAGGAGGCCGCCAAGTTCCGCCTGGACTCCTGTCTGGGGGGAACATCGGAGGTCATCCATCGGAAAGCCATTCAGAGGTAACCATGACAGCTGGTCTGTTTTCATTGTTTGTTTGTTTGTTTGTTTTTTAGGATCTCCATTAGTGTGAATTTCCCACTACTCTGCCTGGAGTCCGTAGTGAATAATCAGATAAGTATTTGGACCATCGCACACCGGGGCATGCCCCTACTCTTTTTCGAAAGGTGTGGTGGGTTCTTTAACGTGCGTTGGGTGTGGCTCTCCCCAAACACGGGACCTCCATTTAATGTCCTATCCGAGGGACGTCCCTAACCGAAGCTACTCATTTGCACCTGAGTGAAGTGAGGAAAGTCATGTTAAGTGCCTTTCCCAAGGGCACAAGATCGGTGACCAGGTGGGTTTCAAACCTGGGACCTCTTGGTTCCGGGCCGAAGATGTTACCGCTACGCCACACGACCCCACCATTGTTATTCGAACGTTGCAGTCTGACAGGAACTGTAGCCAAGCTGCATTGCTGTATACATAAGCTTCTTGTAAATTTGGAGGTAAAATGTAGCTTACTGTAAATCACTATTTGTTTTGCGGTACCTTTGTATTCACCGTTTTTGCTGTTACTTCTGTACCATGAACTACCATCATTACTGTGAAGAAAAAATTTGCCGACTTTCTTTCCCCCTGCCAACATATAGTTCTGCAAACATGTCCATTTTTCTCAGACCATGAACTTTTGCTGCCGCAAACATTAAGTGGTTTACACTGAAGTATCTGAATTTGCTTCATCAGAAAATTATTGACCATTCCTGTGTACTCATGGAATACAAATATTGTCTTGTACAGAATATATGGAGACAAAGCACCGGATATCATTGAGGGACTGAGGAAGAACCCAGCTGTCGCTGTGCCTTTGGTGCTGCGCAGGTCAGAACATTACATTATTACCATGTTATTGTGCATTTGGTAGCCATTGCTTGCAAGAATTAGTCTTTGCACCATTGAGTATCTGTATAGCCGGTATAACCGCCCTTCAGCGTAACACACCAGCTTCTGTATCTGTATAGATGGTACAACTGCCCTTCGGCATAACACACCGGCTTTGCAGGCACGCGGCGCAGCGGCAACTAGCTACATTACACCAATCAACTTGTTACACCTAACCCTTGAACATCTAACACTAGACATTGTTTAAAGCTATCTAATGACAATGCCCCTACTGTACTTGGTGACAGCAAGTTCTACTCTGCGATAGTTCTAGGAAAGAATGAATTCTTGAGCACCTCAATCTTGATAACTCGGGTACTTGAAGGCATGGCTATTTCTTGTTCTCTTCTGGGCTGGTATTAGGTACTTAGTAGTTGCCTAACCCCATAACCAATATAATAGTGAATTGGCAGCCAAAGAGCTAAAGGTTTAAAAGCTTCTTTGAAAACTGTTTTGACATTTCTTCCTTGATGTATGAAATAAGCATACCAAACCCTTCTCATTCAATAATTTGTGTTGAAAACTGAGTGGTTTAGCAGACAAAGATCAAGAGGTCGCTGGTTTGATTCCCACTGAAATTTTACCTTCTGTTTTTAGGCTGAAAGCGAAAGAAGAGGAGTGGAGGGAAGCCAAGCGAGGGTTTGACAAGATCTGGCGTGAACAGAATGAGAAGTACTACCTGAAGAGCCTGGACCACCAGGGCATCAACTTTAAACAGACTGACTCCAAGGCACTCCGTTCCAAGAGCTTCCTCAACGAGATCGAAACCATCTTTGACGAGGTTTGTGTAGTTAAAACCATTTTACAAAGGCTCTGGATGTATTAAATTGTTATTTTCAATAACTGTAGTTATTTTTGGCAACCTCTTTTTTTGGCAGTACCTTTTTATGTAAGTACCGATATTGTTTTTGCTACGTTTCCTCTTCTTCTTCCCCAATCAAATAAGGTCAATGACCTAAACCAGACATCTCTCACCATGGTAACTAGTGTTGGGTTACATCATGTTGCAATTTTATAACAGGAGGGATTTAGACTCCTGTCTCACCATATATATGAATGTGTTTGAGTAAGAATTAACAGAGCAGACCATATGCGAAGGTAAACATTATGCATTTGCTTTGAAAATGATACCTTTCTACATGTAGTGTACATGTAATGCCATCCCTTCCATCTTTAAACTAACGGTAAACGGTAAACTGACACAAACGTGTTTGTCGATCCTGACAGAGACAGGAGGCGGCAGCGGAGGGCGCGGGTGACGTGAGCGGACCACACATCGTGCTGACGTACCAGGACACGGGCATCATGGACGATGCAGCCGGACTGGTGGTGTACCACATGAAACGCCAGACAAGCATCCACAAAGAGGTCGGTCACATGTTCTGCAAAACATTGGCAGCAAGCACATTATTTTCATAAGGCCACACCAATTTAATTTATTGGTTCTCAGATTTTTCAGAAAAAATATGAAGCGACAAGGCACAAAAAATAAAGATAAAAACAGGCATCCTATTATAGCCCCAAGTGCTATGATAGGAGCCATGAAGTCAACACAAAAGGCAGGGTTAAAATTTAAACAATGAATTTGGAACTTTTAATCAAACCACTGTATTGATAGATCGAAAAACTGTTACAGTAACAACTAGGAAGAAATGGACTTTCCTCAACTATTGAGGGCAAAATATGAGCATTTTTGAGTTGATTCAGAACTAGAATTTTTTTTTTTTTTGCAAATCAGAAAAAAATGAAGAGGCAAATCAGGGAACCAACAAATTAAATTGGTATGGCCTTACATCATTTATAATAAAAGATGTTTGCCCTGCTCTTTGCTAAATGATAACAGATGTCCAATTCTATCCCCTCAGGATAAACAGAAGATCAAGTGGCTGTTGTACCAGTTCCTGCCGGATTTCTTCTACCTGCCGCGAGGAAAACTCAGTGATGATGAGATGGAGGACAGAGATGACGGTGAGCAGGAGTTAGAAAATGTCTTGTCTTGTCAGTATGAGTCTTTGTGGGTCTTTGTCTGCCTGTGTGTGTGTGTGTGTGTGTGTGTGTGTGTGTGTGTGGATTTGTGTATGGGTGTGTTGTCTGTGTCTCCCTGTGCGTACGTGTATGTGTGTTTCCTTGTGTGTACACAGTGTGTACAATGTATGTGTATGTGTGTGTGTACGTGTGTGTGTTTGTGTATGTGTGTGTGTGTCTAATTTCTGCAGTGTAGTTCTTTTGAATTCCTCCAGGGGGTGTTAACCATTGAAAGTCTGCCATTTCTGATTGCCTTGTTTGTAAAAGTAACATCTTTTCTCCTGTACTTTAGATGGAGAGGCAGAAGCCTGTAGGAACCTGGCTGCCCTGAAGCAGGCCATCATCAGTCCACCAACACTGCCTGGTCTGGGGACCAAACCTCCTCTCAGGGGACTGGACCCGGTAAGACACACACACAATCATCTTCCTTGGTATTACGCCAAAGAAGACCTGTATAGGATCCAAAATTCCTTGCAAACATACCTGGAATACATTGTTTCTAATGGCTGACCAGTTAGTAGCAAGCACGTACAGGGTTTTGAAATCACTCACTCAGCTCCGCATGCCCCTCCAGGGGACGTAGTGCCTCTGCATATGATCCTCCAGGCTGTCTCTGGCTGCCACCCAGGCGAAATACATGTACTATATTTTTTCATGTTGCCCACTGGAAAACCGAAACCAAAAGCTAGGTTGCCCATCAATATTTCAGGTTGCCATCAACACAAGCTGTTTTATTTTAGAAAGCAAACCGTAAAAGTATCCTGGCCAAGGCAGGACTCAGTTTATTTCAGAAGCTGTAAGCTGGGCCACTGTAAACTTTAAATAGGTCGCTTTGTATGCAAAAACAATTGATAATTCGCGCACCAGGCATGTCCAATACTAGTAAGTCTCACAGAAAATATGACTCGCAAGACGGGAGTGGGTATTTCGAACCCTGGATTTGTTGTCTTTTGTCAAGCATGGGGAAACTGCTCTTCTTACCATTAAATAAAACTCTTTGCCTAGGACGGCTGTTCGTTACTGCTGGGAAACAACAACTGGTACCTGTTCCTGCGGCTGCTGATTGTTTGTTTGTTTGTTTGTTCAGGACGGCTGTTCGTTGCTGCTGGGAAACAACAACTGGTACCTGTTCCTGCGGCTGTGTGAGCGGCTACTGATTGTTTGTTTGTTTGTTTGTTTACAGGAAGGCTGCTCACTGCTGCTGGGAAACAACAACTGGTACCTGTTCCTGCGGCTGCACCACATCCTGTGTGAGCGGCTACTGATTGTTTGTTTGTTTGTTCAGGACGGCTGCTCGTTGCTGCTGGGAAACAACAACTGGTACCTGTTCCTGCGGCTGCATTGCATCGAGCGGCTACTGATTGTTTGTTTGTTTGTTTGTTTGTTGTACAGGATGGCTGTTCGTTATTGCTGGGAAACAACAACTGGTACCTGTTCCTGCGGCTGCATTGCATCGAGCGGCTACTGATTGTTTGTTTGTTTGTTTGTTTGTTCAGGACGGCTGCTCGCTGCTGCTGGGAAACAACAACTGGTACCTGTTCCTGCGGCTGCACCACATCCTGTGTGAGCGGCTGTTGAAGGTGTACAAACAGGCCATGCTCATCGCCGAGCAGGAGGGACGGGGGAACCGCCGACACGAGTCTACCGCCGTCGCCCTGCGCCTCAAGGCATCATGTAAGAGACATTTTACTTTCACAATATTAAAAGTACACCACAGTTCTGACTATACTTGCACATGGTCCACTTTCTGTGGGTGCACCTCTTGAAGAACAAGAATTCGAAGATCTCGTACCTCCATTAAATATGTGTTTTTTTTGTCCTTATTAATTATGCAAACTACATGTACATTTTAACATAATACATGCAAATTAGACACGCCAAAAACAATACCTTCATTTTTCATGGAGGTAAAAAGTTTCTAGACTTAAGGCACAGAATTAGAGTGAGAATCAGTCTGGGTTTCAAGAAACACAATTTCTTTAATAAACTTTCATCATACATATACTTTAAGTTGTCTTCTAGTAGGGCAAGAGCAATGGCTAAAGTATTTGCAAATCTTCAGTGTAAGTAAAAGTTCTGACAAAGTTCAGTGTTGTAGGTAGATAACAAATAAATAGTATTTCAATGTAATACAGGTTGTTATATTTTCCTTTGTTGTATACATGCACTTGGGAAATAACTGTAGTGTAAGCTATACATGTGCTCAAGTTAGGTTACAGCTTTAATCTCGTCGGGTGGTGTAGTGGTTAGAACAATAGACTGTGAACCGGTAGACCCGGGTTCAATTCCGAGTCGTACCCGGTACATGTCTGAACATGCGCCCCGACGTTGTGCCCTTGGGAAAGGCACTTTACACGAATTTCCTCACTCCACCCAGGTGTGAATGGGTACCTAACTTCGGTTGGGGAAAGTCGTATTGAGGTCATCTTGTGGCGCCGAATGGCAGCCGCACAGACCCTTGCGACTGTGTGTATCATTTGTATTATTTGAATGTTGTAATTGTTGTGATTTGTATTGATTATTGTGTGATACCCTGCATCAATTCAGCCGTAAGGCTGCGACTGCACGGGTACTGTTTGGACAATAAAAACCATTTATAATCATATGTTGTTTGGCCTTCAGCTGACATAGACCCTGAGGAGTACTACCCTGTGTTTCTGGAGATGGTGAGAAACTTGCTGGATGGAAACCTGGAGCCTACACAGTACGAGGACCAACTGAGAGAAATGTTCGGCATCCATGCCTACATCACCTTCACTATGGACAAACTCATCCAGAATATTGTTAGACAGGTAAAAGTCATACTATCATGAAAGTTCATCTGTGTTGGTAATTACATTTTTGTACATGTTTAGAGTTAAAACTTTTGATCCAACACAAAAAAGTTCTCTCACCTAGAGCTTTCGACCAGTCACTCTTCAAAGAAGCCACGTGATAAGCCTCACTGGGTCAGTCTACTGAGGAAGACCAGAGTGACTGGTCGAAAGCTCTAGCTGAGAGAACTTTGGATCGAAAGATTTAACATTAAATAGGTAACAGTCATGTCTATGTCACCTTCACTATATTATGAACAAACTCATCCAGAATGTTGTCAGACAGGTAACATTTAACATACGGCAACTCTGATTACTTGATGGCAATAGAATAGTTAAAGTATAGTAAAATTTCATTGTTGTATTATATTCTTTACATCTCTATATGACATAAATGATAAAAAGCAATACAGAGCAAAAGACACAAAAAGAGTGTGCTGGGGGAAGGCCAAAAATACCAATTTGGTATAATCCAAGGCCATCCCCACAACTTAACAAAAACAAACGAGCAAGTAACTATGAAATTGAAATAGCAACACATAGCTGAATCAACATTTGAGTTAACAAACTTAATAATAACAATTGATAGCAATGAAGTGAATAAAAGTTTGGACATGCCTAGTTCCCTAGCTGCAGTAATTTCAATGTTACCCGCACTTACCTGCAGAAAAAAAAGCATTGCAAACCCTGGCCATAGTCTACAGTTAACCGCAAAATGTTTTTCTGGAACGTTAAGAATGTTACACCTGCCTTGCTCCCCAGCTGCAGCACCTGGCATCAGACGAGGTGTGTCTTCAGTTGACAGACCTGCACCTGTAGTCTACAGTCAACCACAAAATGTTTTTCTGTAATTTGAAGGCTTGTCTTATTTTACAGCTGCAGCACCTGGCGTCAGACGAGGTGTGTCTGCAGCTGACAGACCTGCACCTGCAGGAGGTGCGGACAGGTGGCCTGCAGCCGTCTGCGGACACCGCCAACACGGGGCAGGTGGAGCTGGCCTATCAGCACAAAGCCGAGCAGATCGTTGCTGACGAAAACCTCTTCAGGATCGTCTATGTACGTACATACACGTAGCTCCCACCCAGCCATAGGGAAAAAATGTTGTGTTTCCTGCTTCCCGACCAACCCTAGAAAAAATTGCCGACCCTTGCCCTTTTTTTGGTGGGCCCCTTCAAGAGACATATTTTTCAAGCACATCGACCATTTCTAGCTCCATGATCTCACACCTGAGTGATGAAATGTTGTACTATCAGTTTTCCAACTTTGACATTGAAAATAGAAGTGTACTCATGCATGTTTTACTTCGTTAAACTGTATTGTATAAGTTGGATCACTAATTAGACTTTGAGAGCACCAAAGTCTAATTTAAAAAAAAGAAAAAAAAAAGATAATCCCTACCTACCCTAATTTTTTCAGGACTGAAATAGGAAATACATTTTTTTCCTACGCTTCAGTGTTCTAGGGCCTAGGAAAAAATGTTTGGGATGAAAACTAAAACATCTTACTAAGTGTTGCACATGTTTTGTCTGAGAATTCTCCATAAACAAAGACTTTCCCTTAGCTCAAGTTCATTAATGTTTCTATTGTTATTGAAGAAGTTAGCAGAACATACTAATTTGTTGAATTCATAAGGTACATGTGTACAGGTATAGGTTCAGACCAGTACCTAAACCTGTACTTGTACTTTGTTTAGGTACACAGCTGTACTTACATGTATTTGAGTGTGTATCTTTGATTCCTGATATTTACAATGCAGCATTGCCATATATCTTCACTGTCACTTTTGTGTGAGTGAAATTGGTCACAAAGCAGTATGAGTTAAGTGCTATCTTTGATTGCTATGTTCTTCTGTTTGTGTAGATGCCTTCAGCACACAAGCTGACCCTGGAGCTACTGGACACAGAAGGAGACCAGTCAGATGACCCTGTGGAAGTGGAGGTACAGAACTGTAACCAGCAGAAATTAGACAAAGCAAAACAAATGTACTATCATGAAAGTTCACCTGTGTTGGTAGTTACATGTTTAGCTTTCAAACTTCAAAAAATTCTCTCACCTAGAGCTTTTGACTAGTCACTCTGATCTTCCTCAGTAGACTGACCCAGTGAAGCTTGTCACGTGGCTTCTCTGAAGTGTAACGTCAACACTGGGCCTCACTGGGTCAGTCTACTGAGGAAGACCAGAGTGACTGGTCGAAAGCTCTAGGTAAGATAACTTTTTGTGTTGTTGAATAGAAATTTTAACTTTAAACACAGAACAAATGTAGTTGTATATCTACATGTAGTTATGACATTTTTAAAAGAAAAAAGTTCTTACTGTTAGGTAGGGCTTTCAGGGTTATTTTTCTTTCAGTTTCTTTTTTTTTAGAGTTTTGATGTGTAGTAATACTATTTGGTTGATATACATGTATTGGCAATCAAACAATATTATCATAAGCGTAAAGTTAACATAAAGGTAAACCTATTCAGTGTTAGAAATACCCACCTGCAGTCTGCATTTTGCAGAGACATTTTCAGTATTGCAGAGAGAAAATTAAACAACCTGCAATTTTGCAGACAGAAAAAATCAGGCCAGGGGTTCAATGGTGTTAAAGAACTTTTGTGTTTACTACTGACTCTATAATATCAAGCAATTTAATTTCTTTTTCAAATGTTTGCCAACATACAAATTTTTATGTGCCATGGGTTTAGATCAGGACTTTTAAATGTGTATTTGCAGAAAGTATTTCCAAATTGAAAAAAAATTGACATTCTGCAATATTGCAGAACACTGAACTAAAATTATTTCTACCACTGCTATTTGAAGCAGTTGTTGCCTGGACACTTCCATGTATTTTGACTCTCCCATGTTGTTCCTGTTGTTCTGTAGAAGTGGTCAGACTATGTGGATAAGTATGTGAATAATGAGACCCCGGTCGCACCAGACCTGAGACAACAGATGTCCAAGAAACCAGTCTTCCTACCCAGGTCAGTGTGTTGGTCGGTGTGTTATATTGGTGTATAAGGGTTGGTATGGGTGTTTGTGGGTTTAGATATGGGTACATGTGGGTGGGTAAGTCAGGCCTCAAAATTAACTTTTCTTCCTATTGTCCCAGCACTGTCCCAAAAATAAATGTCAATTGTCCCAAAGTGAGAATAAACAGTCCCAACCTGTTTTTTTTTACTTACGCTTACTCTCAGTCACACTATAATTGCAGAGTAGACAGGAAATTTGGGGGGATTTTCTGGATCCAAAAGCCGGGACGTGTGCCTGATAAACAAAAGAAGGGCTGACATTCTGATGTTGATTATTTTTCTGTTGTCCCAAAAGTGTCTTTTTAATTGTCCCAGCCTAAATTTTAGTGGTCTGTGGCCTCTGGACCACCTTTAATTTTGAGCCCTGTAAGTACTGTGGGTGTGTGTACATGTTAGGCGATCGGTGGATGTGTCTGTGAGTGTGTTTGGATTCAGTATGTTGGAAAGAGACTATTTTATAATATTGTCTTCAGGTTGAAAATATAATGAAAATTTTGCTCACTTTTGGCAACCCCTCTGTTGTGGACCTGATACATAGCAGAAAAGAGGTTTTCCAAGGTTTTTGAATAAGAAAAAGGTAAATGTGACAGTTTTGTTATAACCTGAGTGTTGTTGTGTTTACAGAAACATCCGTCAGACCCAGAGACAACATGCAGAACAGGAGGGGACAGGAGAGGATGTGGGGAAGTGGGAGAACCCACTGGGAGGGGTGGAGGTGAGATATGTGTGTACACATACATAGGCAATGCCATAAGGACACCAATACACACACACACACACACAACACAACACACACTCAATTAGTGGCCACTATTTAACGCAAGCACTCCATGTGTACAGCTTATATACAGAGTGTATAATATACAATTGTTGTCCGTTAATGGTCACTGGTCGTACAAGCATAGAGACAATACAACCATACATGCACACATAACACTCCCGTATTCTGTTAGTGGCTGCTATCTAACCCTAACGTACAAGTTACATACACACAATATTGCCTAGGGAAAGCTAGTTGGTAAAGATATGCTTTGTCCTTGCTTTTCTAAATTTCACTTGTGGTAAAACCTAATATACTTTTATTATTATATAGTATATGGATGCAATACATTTTCCTTGATTCCTATGTTCTTCATAGGTGAAAGCTAACATGGAGTGCAAGTTCAACCTGAATTCCTACAAGATGGTTTACGTGGTCAACTCTGAGGACTACATGTACCGTCGTACTGCTATCAGACGAGCCAGAGAGGTGAGCTCTCTTCATCAAATTTTCTCTGACCTCCATGCAAATTTTAGTATACAGAAAGTTTGCAAATACATGCCCGAGGGCTAATTGCAGTTACAAACAACATAAGAAAGAAAATACAGTGGTATGTGAGACTATATCTACGTCTAACCTTATACTACATTCTACAACATAACATGGTACTAGTTTTACTGGATTTGACTTTTTATTAGTCCTGGTTGATTTTGATGAAATACACACATTTTCTTATGTAGTCATTTGCTTTTGGGGTGACTTTATTTCGTGGTGGGAAAAGTAAGGTCAGCCGTGTTTTGAATTTGCAGCTGAAATGAGTTTGTAGTACAGCAGTCATACCGTGGATGTCTTTCTAATGTCATGAATTTAATAATTTACCTTAGAAAAATGCAAAAATTGAACCAACATCAAGGATTCAAGAATTGCCGTAAATTGTATACATGTACATTGTAGCTTCTTATGCAGAAGTGTTGACAAGACAATGTTTGACTGTTTGACTGGATGCATAGTGCTGTGTACCGGTTTGCTTGACCGGTTCCAAACTTGTAAAAATGTTTAGGTTCAAGTCCAAAAAAAAAAAAAAGTCAAGAACTGATTCTGGACTTATTACCAAAAAAAAACATGTCACATACCCCTTTTCTTTTTAAACCACCTAAAACCTTCCATAGATTGCAAAATCTGTGCTGCAAAATGAAGAAAACATTGCCATCGGGCATCGTCAAGTGTCGGCCTCCATGTTATGTGGCCAAAGTTGCCAACATGCAATTTTGTATATGCCATCGGTTTAGGTCTGGACTTACGAGTCCGGAACTGAACCTGAACCTCTGGACTTGAATCTGGACCTGAACCTAAATGTGGGTTTAGGTACATTGTACACAGCACTATGGACACAGATGGTAAGCACATGTACATTGTACTGACCATGTTCCCTGTGTGTTGTCCAGTCCCACAGACAGGTGTTCAGGGTCATGCACAAGAGATTTTCCCACTGGTGGAACAACTGGCAGAAGGAACATGTTAGTCCAGCTGAGGAGGCTCAGACACAGGTCAGGGTACAGCTCTATTCTTCTCCAACCACTAGTACACAGTACTGGTTTTCTCTCACAGTATTACAAGAAAAAACATCATCTAAGGCCACAGGAAGTAAATTTTATGGATGACATCCTACGCAGTCTCCAAATCTAATGCGAGCGGGTGAAGAAAAAAAACAAGACAGGCCGAATAAAACAAGGTTCCTACATTTTAAAATTTTGACTCAATCATCGTACAAATGGTTTTGATTCAGTGGGAACATCACATATACACAGCCAGCATCACATATCACTGCATTAAAGTAAAAAACAAAACATTAAATCAGACCATTTTTTGTCTCCTCTCTTCATAGTTATCTGCCATCCACCTTCCGGCATGGCAACAGACATCTTTGCCCATTTTCGGCATGTTGACCACTGTCAGAAGGCAACAAAATTTCTTCCATATGTCATCCATAAAAAGTACTTGCTGTAGCCTTAGTTACATTTTATTGGCAGAGGAAGAGGTACTTTTTATGTGACATGTTTGGGGTGAAGTCTGCCATCTCTGACTGTTGTTGTTGTTGTTGTTCCTGTAGGACTGGTTGTTGGGGCGTGTGGACGGCCTGGTGCCCTGTCAGACCTCCAGCCGACCACAGGCAATGGAGAACTGCCACTACACCAAATATGTGGTGGAGTACGGAACACCTGAACAGACGTGAAGCATGGCTTAACTACAGTCTCAGCCAGCACATCAGCAGAACGTACTGTGTCTGCACAAAAACCTGCATGTATTCTGAACAGCACTTTGGCAGAACGTCTTGTTTAAAGGCATCCAATGCGATTTCAGAGCAGCAAAATAGGAAATATTCTGATGAATAAGGCAATCTTTGTGATATTGACACATACTGCTTCACATTAGCACATTTCTATCAGTATTTCATACTTTGGGTATTTAAAACTGCAGAAACAAGCCCCAAGATGAGTCCTTTATTTTCTGGGTGGTACCCTAAAAATCAGCCCAGGTCCCTTCCAGTAACCATTTTCCTTCAGAATTTTGGGTATTTTTGCTCCATGAAGGTCAATATACATTGGGGTAGTGTGGTTTCAACTCAGTATGTAGATAAGTGACTAGAATATTGACTCTGAAAATTGGGTTTCCAAGCCCTAAAAACTGCACTGGATGCCTTTAAGGCCGTGTTCGCGTATTTAAGGATGACATCCCTTCTATAGTTTTCAAATCTTGTATCGGAAAAAGATATGGTTTGCAACGGGCAAAATACCAATGCAATGCTGACCAAACATCCAACAGAAATGGTGGGGAATCCGAGTTTTGTGCAGGCGCCAGACATTTTGTACGTTCTACCGATGAGCTGCCTTAACCCTTGTACAGAAACATAGACTTTACTTTTACTGACAACTCACTGAACGATAACTGAACATAACTCTGCTCAGTTTATATTTCACTGTTGACTGGAAAATATGATATAAAGTGTATCTACGTTCATTTTCTGTTCACATATCACTGAACTGGAGACTCAAGTTGTAGGTATTTCGGTTGCTGTAGTGTGTTCAGATAACATTTACCTGTCTTTTTCAGTACTGATAAAAAAAGCCAGTGTATAGCTGACAGTTTCTAATATGTTAATATCCATTCCAGTTTTGTTTTAAGTATCTATAGATTTGGTAGAAGTGTGTAAAGAAACTTGTTGAAGCTACATTGTAGTAGGTGACTTGGCCACACAGATGTACATGTACAAATGTTGAGAAAACCGTTCTACTTATACTACAAGCATTCATGTAACAGTAGAGTTTAGGCCACACCAATTTAATTTGTTGGTTCTCGGATTTGTTCTGAAAAAAATATGAAGTGACAGGGCGGAAAAAAATCAAAATAAAAACAGGTATTATAGCCTCAAATGCTACGATAGGAGCCATGAAGTCAACACAAAAGGCTGGGTTAATATCTAAACATTGAATTTTAAACATTTAATCAAACCACTGCATTGGTAGATGGAATAACTGTAACAACTAGGAGGAAAAGGACTTTCCTCAACTGTTGGGGGCAAAATATGAGCATTTTTTAGTTGATTCAGAACCCTTTTTTTTGGCAAATCAGAAAAAATGAAGAGGTCAATCCGAGAACCAACAAATTAAATTGGTGTGGCCTTACAAGTGAATGTGTTCATGAAATGTAAGAACAATGGAAGTTGGAAAGTAAGGTCCAGGACCATGTAAGTATATTCTAGCACGTCTAACTGTTACATGTACTTCAAGCTTATTAAAAAAATACTTTTATGCTGTTGAAGGCCCATGTGTTTGTGTCTGAAGTATTGTTACCTCCATGAAAAATGGAAGTATTGTTTTTGGTGTGTCTGCGTGTGTGCATGTGTGTTTGTGTGTGTGTTTGTGTTTCCACACATTGTAGTCAGCATAACTTCAGAACGCCTTTATGGATTGTGAGGATATTTGGTATGCTGGTAAGTCTTAGGAAGACGAAGGTCAAGGGCAAATATGGGCCTCCTGGTGGATGACCTTGGTACTGCAGCAGAACTTCCGGTTTTTGTATCTTTTGTCCTGAACATGCTATGGTCTTGGATTTTTGGTGACAGATAGCTTTTCCTGTCAGGAATAAGTGGTGTGGGTTTTGTCCCCCTAGCAGCTTGTTTTCTTGTGTGACAAAAAGTGAATGAATAAATGAAGCTTTAGTAGCTTTATTACTACATAGTGTGCCCAGTGACAGTGATTCAACACAGATGGCATTTCAGTTCTAGCTATCACTAGGGCCATACCAACAACGTTCTGTCTTAAATTCTGAAGGACTTCTTGCATATTAGTTCGTCAGTTGACTTCGAATACGACCATATACGATCTAGTGTACATTGTAGATGTGCAACGCAGTTCGTGAAAACACAATTTCTAGCTTTACCAGGTACTGATACTAAGAAATATAACAGAAAGCAAAAACCTTCACAAAGACGAAGTAGATTAAAGTGTATGATGTGATTGGCGTTAAATACCTTCTGCCATGAGCAGAGAATATATATATAGTAAGTCAAAATATAGTCACAAGGCTCTGGTAGCACGTGAAGTAATATTCAGAAGTACTAGTAGTATACAGTATATGCTGCCCCAACGGCTGACTAAGCTATGGGAGAGAATGAGAGAGTATGTATGCATAACATTATATGACCTGTATAAAACAGTGTATGTTTACCGAAGGAAAACATTGTTTTTGCTCTGTTTCTTCTGTTCCAAACACATATGTTTGGTATAAAGGTCAATGACCTGAACCAGACGTCTGTCACCATGGTAACTACTGTTGGGTTACATCAATCAATCAAGCCGCAAGCATCATGTTGCAATTTTATAGCAGGAGGGATTTAGACTCCTGTCTGACCATATATGAATGTGTTCTACATGTATGCCTCTCCGGCTAATGAAGAATGAGAGCAGTTCACAATTTTTCCGCATGGGGGCGTGCATGTGCTGTGACCCGGAAGTAAACCGACGACAAACAAGTTCCTGGCGAGTTTGGCAGAAAGATTTTGGCCACGATGTTTTTTCGCGTAGAAAGGTAGGTTTTGATTGGATGTTTGTGAATCTTGTTGTGACTAACAATCCATTATGGCCACAAGACAACAAAGCAGTGTTTTATTGGCTCCTTGATATCATTATATTATGACGAACAATGTTGAAAATATGGCAACGTGACAGTCAACACTTTGCGTAAGTTGGGCAGAGACAAATTGGAATGTACTCTCCAAGCAGAGGTTGGGATTTTGGCTTATTTTTGGCGTGTTTTAGGCCTTTTTTTAATATTGAGGTTTCTTTTTTGAACTGGATTTTTTCTTTCAACCAAAAAAAAAATTACAGTGCAAAAATTTTTTAAAGGAAATCTAAAAACAACGCCCAAACTAACCCAAACCTCTG